ATTTATCCAAGTCAAATATCACGACCAGAACTTTTTTTGAAAATTTTACCTTTAATAAAAGCAATAGATTAAAATATTTTATGTGCAAGTTGATTTCTGGTGGTATTACAATTTATATATTTCACGGAATAAATAGCGATATTGATTTGCGGATAGGTATACCACGTGTTTTTTCAATCAATTTTGAAAAGTGGGCATACATGAAAGCATATCAAGACCAATTAATGGCAAACATGCGCTCATGGTTTAAAAGGGAAAATCCTCTCCTTACCCTTGCTCTCTCGGTTGTTCACAATAAATGAATAATGTTGAATGTTATAATTCACACACGTGATTTTTTTAAAAAAATATACTTTTATAGAAAAAATGAAGAAAATAATTCAACAGTTATTTCAGAAATCATTTTGTTGCACAACCATTTCTTGCTTTATTTATGTACCACTTATAAGAACTTTTAACACATTTAAAATACAATTTATTGCTACTGTTAAGGTTTTTCTTCAATATTTTCATCCATTTCAAACTTTGTAAGGCTTTTGCAGTCGTCCTTTATAAAAGAACCATCTCAATTCTTTTAATCAGGGTCCTTGTCAAAAGAAAATTAACCAAGAGATCGAAAGACATCTAAAGATCCAAGGGCTTTGATTAAAAATAAGATCAGCTAAAGATATCAATACTTTTATTTAAAATTTTAACACTTGTAGGATATAGATGAAAGTGAACATTAAAAAATTAAAGTAAATGTTACCAAATAGTTGCAACGGAATATAAGAGCTCAGAAGCGGCTTTGTTATATGACGTCATAACTTTCAAACACATTTTAAAGGATTAGGGAATATAGAGACTAGAAGGTTGATAGTGCGCTATGTGAATATTTCATTCACAGATGCAGAAATTTAACACCTTTTAATTAATCTCTTTTAATAAACAAATAATTCAGCAAATAATTTCGAGTTTTAAAATATTGACAGTAGTGAAGGAAAAACTTCAAGAGTACTGTTACAACTATATACAAGTGGTGTAATCATTTATATTAAAAATTCTAAAGAACTTTTGGACAATTTGAAATCACACTTGTAGCAAAAATTAACATAAAAATTGTTTTTTTATACACAGAAAATGCAAATTATTGGCTTTTTGATATCAGGACAACTGATACAAACAACAACAAGAAGCCCATGGGCCACATCGCTCATCTGATCACTGTTGAAAAATTATTTTGTTAACAATTCTGATTGCACACATCAGTACTGAAAAACTTTATAAAGATGCATGAGTTTCTGATTGACAATATCTATCTGGTTTTTACCCCAAGGGGAATTAAATGTAAACAAAATTGAATCTATTGTTCAAGTTATTTATATTGCTTACATGTACATATTTATATTAACTGTGGAATTTTGCAAAGTTTATTTTTCATTGTGGAAGAAAAACACCTGTTGTGGCCTTAATTTGAACAAATTTGATATATACTACCTGAGTATTGTCAATTAATAATGATAATTTTGATTTTCCTGAGATTTCTTTTAGAAACTTCTTTGTGTGCCTATGCATAAATTTGTTTAATTCATTTTGACACTTCTGCTTCATACTTGGATATTTTACTTGAAAAAACACTAATTTACATCTAAATAACAAGCTATATGATAAACGTGATGACTTAACTTTCGTCAACTTCCCTTACTTATGCAGCAATATACCTTCATCACCTGCATACGGAGTATTTATATCTCAGTTGCCCAACAAAACCCAGGGGCCATGATTTTACGTAAGAGACAATTTCTTAAATGAGGTAAATTATTGACAAGCATAGTTGATGAAACAAGAATATCCAATCTTGGCTTTGTAAATTCTATGGTCGAAAATGACCTTTCAGCAAATACAATTTATCATTGAATATATTCTGACGTTTTTCATACCAATTGTTACCATTATTTATCCACTGAACTGACCACGGATTTTTTCCGTTAATTCCTGATTATGACAAAGAGCAACGGGTGTTGCAGGGGAATCTATGGCACTACCTCTGATGTTTCGGAGGTCCGTGTTTGCTCTGCTCTTATTTTGTATATTTGTTTAATGGATGTTGAATGTGAATACTTTGTTATTTCCATATCCTTCTTTTAATAAATAAATAATTCAAATTCAGCGAATAATTTGAATTTCCTTTATCCAAGTATATTTAAAGCTTCGTGGCAAGTGTGGTTGATATGGCCCCGTGGACAGATGAAAATGTGAAAAGTTGACAGACGGAAAGACAGACAAAATGTGATCAAAGAAGCTAACTTAAGCCTTCGGCTCAGGTGAGTTGAAAATAAATGCAAGGATTTGTAAATGAAAAAATTATGTATTTATCTTGTTTTAGTTTGCCTGTAAATGATTGAAATGGTAAAATTGTAAATTATATAGTCATCATAAATTTACTAAAATCTCTTTATTCCACCTTTCTGCAACTATCCATAATAATTTATACAATCTTTTGTCACTTTTAATCACATTATTGTAAAAGTTGAAAAAATAAAAATCTATGCGGTTAAACTTATTTATTATCGAGTATGTTTGTTTGTTTAATTATTTGCCTGTTGTTAAACGTCCCTCTCAAAACTATTATGCTAATATAAATAACCAACCACTTGATGGTGTAATGAGAATTTTTTTTTCTCAGCATTGTAAACCATTGAGCCTTATTGTAGACACGGAACCTCGGTTTATACATGGAGACAAGTTGCTGTCCTTCAAAAAAGGACTGCAATACGTGGACCATATGCATTTTTTTCTAACCGAAATTCAATTAAGAAATTTTCTAGGTGTAGTGAATGTTCATGTAGGTTTGTTCACATTTTCTACAATGATCTGCCTACTTATGACAGGTTGTAGTCTCAAAGCAAAATTGTTAAATTTTGTCTCCGATTAGCGGCCTTTAGTTTTGTCAGTTTAAAAAAATCGGGCTATTTTGATACATGTTACCCATAATGGCTGGGACTTGGCATATGTTCTGGATTTATACAGAAGAAATCAATAATGCGAAAAATAGAGATCTATTGGTTACGTGTAGCACAGCTCTGTAGTACGCAGATTTTTTTTACCCCCCCAAGGATTTACACACACATGAAAAATCGTTGCTTATATATATATATATCAAACGGTATTTGGATTGCTGAAATATTAAATCATTTTGCTAGCCTTAATGCACAAAACTAATGCCGGTGAAAAACTTGTTCTATCTTTTAAAAGCTAGAACTAATCGTTGAATGACATTTTTCATTCAAGTTGTTAAGTAACATGTATCTATACAGTATATTGCAAGTTCTTCCTACTTTTTAAGATGCATCTTCTATAGAATCAATGCTTAGTTTGTATATAAATTACAGTATATGTATAAAAGAGAAATTCGGATCCGCCAATGAATATGTAAATGCGAAATACGGATTTAAAAGCGCGATTTACCAATGAATAGCATATTCTAATACTCGAATAGGTCGAATTATTCTACGGGCAAGTTACCTAAGGTACGAACGCTCTAGCATTCTCGCGCCTGCGTAGCCTGTTGTTTGCCAATGGCATCCGGTTTAACCTCGCTTATATTTTTACTGCGTGGACCTCAGGGTCCACGCAATTACGATCAGTATTCACGCTCAAAAATCCATAAAACAATAAACAAAAGGAGCAGAGCAAACGTGGATCTCCAAAACATCAGAGGTTGGATCAGGTGCCATGGATGAGTAAACATCCCCTGCCGACGGGTCACACTCACCATGTGCACCAACTAAAATATAACCTCAACCTAAAAGCCCTCAAATCCCTAAAACGTAGCATTGTGATTCTTCATAAAAATTGAAAATACATGTATAATCATTAATTCAACTGTATTATTTTAAGCATCATTTTGCAAGTGTCTTTCATTTCATATCATATTCTCAATGTGGATCTATAAAATCGCCAATGAAGTAAATGCTTACAAATATATCTTTGAAAGCACAAAGTAATATGTACATGCATAATTAAACAATTTACAGCATTTCTTTAAAACTAATCAAACACTGTAATATATATAGTTCATCATAGTATCAAGAGGAACATTCTAAGATATCGAGTAAATATTCAAGAAAAACAATAGAAACTTCAACTATCCATTTTCTAAAACAGAAAATTGATTATCAAATATACATATGTTTCTTAGATTTAAAAAGTAAAAGGTATCCAGACTTTCCGAGAAAACTGCATGTTTTTATGGTTATTTGCAACCGATATTCTATACTTTTCTAGTTCATTCAATAGTTAACGGAAAAAGCTCTTTAGAACTACTGTTTTTGTTAATGTATCCGACTTTATATAAATTTTAAAGATTATCTCATTTTTTTTACCTGATATTATCAAATATCAAATAAAGCATAGTGTAAAAAGTTTTTGTTTTCTAGACAACACATATCCCCCTTATTTCATATCATGCTAATTAGCATTTAAACCAAAATTTAAGATAAAAAAAATCTTACACTTGTTCATTTTTTAAAATTTTTTTATAGGGTTATATGTAAACTTTTTACAAAAGATGAATATTTAAGATTTAAATGAAACACCTTTTTGCTTAATTATTAAAATTAAACAAAATGAAGAAATTAAAGGTATAAAAATGAAATTAAAATTTGACATAACTGATTTTTTCGATTTTGCAATTGTTAACTGAAAATTCAAAAGAATAAATTATGAATTTTTTTGTTGTACGGTAGAATTTTGTGTCATATATGACTCAAATGTAAACAGTTTGAAAAAAATCATTTAATTTGTATAATTTGCTTTAAAGTGCTAAAAATTGGCATTTTCCTATATAATCCTATAGCTAATGTACCTGTATTTTGAGAAGAGTCCCTTAAAAATATTGTGAAATAGACATGTTAATTGTTCTATATGGTATAAAAAAAAACTCTCTGAACCAATGGTAACTGTTTTAAAATTAAAAAAAAAAAGAAATAAAGAATTAAACAGCATTATAATTGCTTCAACAATTATTCATCAAATTCTCGTTAAAAACGCTTAATTGAAAAACCATCAAATGAAAAATTAAACCACGAATAAGATTCTTTTCTAAAGAAAAAAATAAGAGCATATGCGAAAGGCACACGTACCTCAAAGTTCCCAATAAATAAATCTTGTGATTTTAAAACAATTTAAATATCCACTTAATAAATTAATCAATTTACATGGCATGACAATTATTTTCAATATACGATACTAGGAGCATAACTCCTATTTAATTATTCGACAGATTCCATTGTATTTAATTTGTCCTTCAAAATTCTTTCAGTTAATTATTTTTAACAAAAGTAATCAGGTATGATGGATATCCCTGTGTATCATTAAAAATGATGTACATTTCAGGATCTTGTAAAGGATATACCACAGAATCATATAATATGTGTGGATGCTGAGCATCCTTGGCTGGCGGTACTCGCATGTCCTTTTTTCCAAGCGTATACTCCCCTGTGAGGACTTTGCATAAATAAATTCTTTTGTGTCCATTCGGATCAGGCTTAGAGTAAGTTTCACGAGCTGAGTACTCTGCATCCACGGCAAAATAAACGCCATTTCCATGGACAGCAGCTGTAAAATATAATGAAAAATTAATAAAATATTTTCTTTTTTTCTTTTAATCAACCTTTAACAAAGCATTCATCGTCATAATACATGACAAATAGAGAAAGAGACATTATAAAGACTGTGATTGTTTAAATACCATTCAATGCATTTGAGTACTTGGATATTAATTCAAATTCTATTTCAATCTCTAAACTAGGGTTTACATCAAAAATTACAATTTTCATAATGCAACAATAAAAACTTGTCATTAAGCAAGTAGCATTTACTTGCCATATATTAAGAATATGCCTAAAAACAAAGACTTAATGAACAATTGCTGCATTATCTGATTCATTTGTATGAAGTTGTAAGCAATGTTAGTGGAGGGGAGAAGGCTAATCTTATCTCAAAGATCCGAGATTTACTAAGTAGTCCCAAATGTCCTAATATGAACAAGATATGACAGATTCTGTGGTGCCTGAGGAATTTTGAGTCGACGTATAAATGAAAGTAACTGTTAGTAATTGGTAATATATTGTCGATATTGTCTGAATGTCAAATCGGAGGAAACAGCAAGTGTTTTTTTTTTCTAATATATTCTGACAATGTTAAACTAAATTTGCAGACTACAAAAGAAACTCCAGCATCGTTTTGATATCAACTTCAGATTACATTTGAGTACAATTAGATTGGTTTTTTACTAAGTACTTTATTGACCAACTGCAAGATGTGAAAATCTGTGAGTTTATTTTTGTAGAATAAGCAATTTTATGATATTAGAACGGCTAGATTTAAATTCATCGTGAAATGTATTGAGTAAGCGTAGAGTATTTTGTTTTGATTTGTAGACTTTGTGATCTTAAGTTTAATTCGAAAAGTTCTTTAGAGTTTTTGAAAATTCACATCTTAAAATTAATACTACTTCTAGAATATGCTGTATCAAATACGTCTGAAATTTCCCCATTATTTTGGTAAAGAGTATTCGAGGGGTTATTAAAAAGGTCGTATACTGAGGCTTTAAAATTAGTACTTTGTAGTCTGTGTTTTCAAATTATATGGAACATAAAACAACAGAAAATAAAGTTATGAACTTCAAAAAGCTTCCAGAATGAAGTTAAAATTTCATATTTAATATATCAATTGCGTCCCAACTCATACCTGATTTAACGGGATTTTTGGATGTCAAATGTTCATATCAAAAGAGTTTTCTTAGTTATACCTAGGTCGCAAAAACGTCGTGCTCGAGGTTGGGCCGCCTGGACATACCATTGCTTACAAAAACATTACTATTTCATTAAAATATAAACGGAATGATTTATCGTTTATTCTTTAGATAGAAAATATTATGTTAACTAAATATTTTGAAATTCGTTGATGTACCTAAACGGTTTTAATTTTATGGCGCTAGTATACAAACTTTTTGATAACTCCTCGTATATAAGGGTTAGCTAGACCACCCATTGACTCTTTTTGCGGATTGTGATGAAGTTTAGGAATCCAGAACAGGTGAGGTAAGTCGACTCACCTTGGTTGAGTGCTATTTGAAAAGTATTGGGCACTGAAATGTGATTTTGAATAGTTTCTTTTTTGGAAAGTGAATAGTGATTTCCAGACGTACTTTACTCATATTGCTATAAACTATGAGAAATTGATTATTGCAATACTTTTGACCATTTGTTCAAGAGTAACGCTGATCTTGTAATCTCTTTTATAGGTATTTCAATTATAATCCACAGACTTGATAATATGGGATAAGAGTGAAAAACAAAACCATATTAATGTGAAGAAATGAAAGACCTTCATTGACAATAAACCTTGCGTGAGAAAGAAACGTAATTAAAATAACTTAACTTTATTTTGATATTAAACTTTAAGTTATAGTAAACATTACATTTGACAAAGGAATTGCATATACAGTGCAATACATCTACAAGAAGTGTAATGTTAGTAAAGCCAAGAAGCAGGGAAAGGTGTTGTCTTTTAATCTCAATGTATACTTTATAAAAATTATACTTTTAATTGAAAATTTGTTTTACATTTTGGCTTATTCAAAGAATAGAAAAAAAACTAAGCCAAGGATTGAGAAAAAAGGTTTTTTTTATGCTTTTTATGACATTTTAAGGAACAATGTTTACTGTTATAAAAAAACTTCTTTGGGGCTAAAGATAAAAGGTCTTCAGCAGACAAAACTCACATAAGTAACATTTTGAATAATTAAGACTCAGGATAAAGGGAGCTAAGAAATCATTTACCATTCATCCCACTGTAGCTCCTGTTGAAGCCAAGAGAGTTGATACTGTTGACTGCCTTTGGGTCAGTTCCATGCCACAGTTCTCTCTCATTCTGTGTTCCAGAAGGATTCTGGGAATCCAACAACTTCTTTTTTGCAACATACTGCTGGTACAACATCTTGTTCTGAATTCTCTCCAACTGTATTTACCAAAAGTATTTTAATGTAAATGAGTACAAAGCAGAATTTATTTCTACCAATTTACAGTTAGTTATTTTAAGACGAAAGACCTATTTTTATATTAATATAGAGCAGAATTTATTCAAAACTCCTACATGAGAAAAAAATCCACTTGCTGCAGTAGTCAACTCGACAATAAGATATATTGACGAGGCATTATTAGTTATTCTAAAGACCTTGAAATTGTTTTTGAAGTCCATCTTTGGTCGGCTACCGATTGTTTAATGGACTTTGTTCGTTATCTACATATTTCATGAGGTATTGACCAAAGGATACAAACGACTCAGAATTTGCTTTATGAAAACTCCCTTACTGCACTGATTTACGTGTACATATGTCAAACACGGTCATTATAATAAAAAGAAACTTTTATTGAATGAAAAATAGAAAAATCCAATCAAACTAAAGAAGCAAAGAAAAATACAGTTTTACTCAGGCAATTCAGTTTACTATGGTTAATCAAATTCTAGAATAATATTTTCTCTTCAAATCGCTTAACAAAAAACACCATCAATTCTTTTCATATTTTTAAAAACCAAAATAAGGGTCACCTACTTTAATGATATCGCTTTTTATGTTACTTGTCTGCAATTCCCCTTGAAATCTGTCAATGACTGTTTGATACTCTGGTGATCCACGAGGTACTTGGACAACCACAAGGTTTTCTGAGTCCTTCATATTTGTCCATTCCGATGGTGGCTCAAAAGTTGAATCTGATTTAATGGATGGTCATAATTGTTATAATAGAATAACTTTAATATCCCTGGCGTTTCGTTAAAACCCTGTTTTATCGTAGAACAATGCACACAACCTCTCAAAAATTTCAGAAATTCATTGATATTCTTTGCATTTTGTAAATTTTTAATCTTTATATATTTTATAAAACGTGCAGTGATTATATTTACCTTTTTAAAGAACTCTTTCTTTTTTGAGCAATTTCAGATATCTAAATTTGTAATCAAGGCAATACATCATTTTAAAAGGCCAAGATAAATTAACTGAAAATTTTAAATTTCACAAATGCTCCAATCACGTTTTGGTAATAATTTCAATAATCTTCGACATGATTTAATGCATTTTGCATATTAAATTTAATCTTTATATATTTAACAAATCAAGGTTCTTTTGATATGTGACCTTCTAATCAGAAAATCATTATTTTAAACTTTATTCATATCAGTATAAAATAACTTGTTCAGCAGGACTATTGTTTGAAAAAATAGTTTGTAGAACATTTAAGCTTAAGATGTTCGAAATTTGTTTCGTTTTTTCTTGATACAGTAATTAAAACATATTTGAAGCAATGCATGGTTGATATATATTTGTAGGAAATACTTCTCAGTATGTAAACTAGAACCTTTTGGGAGGAATATTAGTAATTTTTACAGCGTTAATTCGTCTGGGAAAGCAATCTATGTTGAAAGAGAAAACAGGAAAATGAGAGTTGTGAGAAAGTATTCATGCCTTGGATTCTGTCTCTTCTAGTTACAGTCACGACATCATTAGGATCATCGCTCGGGTACTCTTCCATTTTGGAAAAGTCAATGGTGTACTGTGTACCATGCTCGTCAGGGAACTGGACATCTGGTCGTTTGTTACGGTAAGCTTTTTCCACAAGAAGATTTATGTCTTTAGGGTAACCACATAATTCATTTTTGCCATCAGAATTGTCAACAAAATACCAAGTCACGACGTCTGATATATACTCAGCCTCAAGTTTATTGCGATCAACATTTCGTAACACGTCTTTAACATAACTGGTAGCATCAAGTAACGAATCGTTGGTTCCAAAAAGGGTAACTATTTTCCTTTGTGTATCTATATTAATTTCTACATCGAACTCATCCTTCAGATTCATCAAAGCTTTCATCTGCACAAAAGAAATAAATATAGTAAAACTAATTTAATCCAAAGGTTTATTTCTGAACTCTTGAGTATAATAATGTAGATTTATATTCCCTTTCTTCGAATTAATTGTTAAAAATGTCGTTTATTCCAGCCAATTTCTATGAACCAAAGACTCAATTAAAAAGTTTTATTTTATTTTCGCTATTTCAAATAAAAACAAGAGGCCCAGGGGCCACATCGCTCACCTGAGTATTGTAGCTAGGAAGGAACCAAAAAAAGGCTAGTATTAAAAATCTTAAATGCATGAGTTAGGTCCCGAACTACTCCTAAAAGGCAGAAAGGGTAAGAGGAGGGGTACAATTTGAACAACTTGAATCTGTACTATCTGAAGATGCTTTCAAATACATGTAAAATGACAAACCATGGCTTTGCTGTTCTTGAAAAGAAGATTGTGCCCATATACTCAATTCAAAAAACTATACAGACAAATCAAATATTTGAATAATGTGCATTTTTTGATAGTACATGTAAATTAGTTTGGCTTTTATCGTTTACGTAAAATTGATAGCTTAGTTTTCTAAGATTGTTTTAAATTTCGATTTTAAAAAAATCAAATTATCTGGCTTTACTACTTTGCAAGACTATTTTCATTCTAGTATATTATTGTTTCACTCTTACTGAGACACAGTGTGCTTCTTCTAACAACCAATTCGATATGATAAATATGATACCTCAAATTTATCTTTTATATCCCAATTCTGAAACTCTTTGAGGCCTAGGCGTCAATGTTTACATAACTGATTTTCTGTATCGTGTGGTCCTGTACATTTCACATATCAAAGTTACTTTTAAAATTGCACACAGATACAAATCAAAGAGTCTTAAATCTTATTAATTGAACAAACAGAAATGAACACTTGATTTTACCTGAAAACCAAGAAATACGCAGATAACTTTCAGTCAGTTTTGTTCATTGATTATTTGCTCTCACAAAAATTTAGGTATTTCATGAGAATGGTTATTATACACTCAAAAAGAAAAAAACAGGGGTTTGTCAAATGCAACCGAGTAAAAGGAAAATACTTTTGCAACATATATCAAATACGTTTGTGTTTTTTAATTGTTTTTTTTTTCATGTATTTCGAAAACTAACACACACAATAGAAATAAGGATAATACATTTAATGACCTTGTTAGCAAGTACAGGTATAACCTGTCATTCCAATGAGTGGTTTGCATTTTGTCTGATGTGTTTCATAAAAAATATAGGCCGTTTTGTATTAAATTTGACTATGAACATGTAATACGAGGGGTGATAAACAAAATCGCGACCTAAGATAAACTTTCCCAAAATGAGCATAAAGATCATCATAACCCAAGCCCCGCTGTCTTATTACCGTCGTCTATCCAAATGTGGATAAAGTATAGGCGTCTTCTTATAATTATCTGATATGTTTAAAAAGTTTAAAGTAAATGATATTTAAGGAATTTATAAATAAATTATTGTCATGATGTTTAATTATTTTCTGACTGTAACTTGCCGATCTTTTATAAATTGCTGAATGAAGGACACATTTTCCCCAGCTTGCTTTCACCGGGCAACAGAACAAACATTTTTAAACATCTGCCTTCCTTCACTCAAACAATCAATCCAATTAATGATTGAACTGGCAAGTTTTTTGTCTTCATAAACCCCTGTGCAAATTATTAAATGTTACTACAAAGAAATTTCAATAATATACGAGGGTTAATCCAGAAGTAATATCAGTGTTCATATCTTTTAAATTTGGCGTCATTTTATCAAACACAATAAACCATAATATGCAATGATATAAATATTATTAATGTTGAAATTAAAGATAAATCATTTAATGTTGAATTCATTTTATAGACGTTTCAAACACAGCATAGGGGATGGCCGCTTAACAACTTAACGTCACGTTTTAAGAGTATTCAAGATCAAAAGACATAAACATTAAAAAAAAAAACAATCTAATAACGAGCCTTATCCCTATATAATTTCAAAAAAACATTATAGACGTTATTTTCTAATTTTCATCAAAAAAATTTTAATTACATCATTGCGAGGTGTGTTATTTGATTGTAAATATTCATAAGAAAAAAGTTTCTAAGGCAAGATATATATATTTGTGGCAAACATTATCACTGTTGATAAATAAAATTAAATTGTAACATTTTTAGGTTGAATTTAACAGTTAATGCGAATTTATGAATAATGTGAATAAAATTAAATGTGAAATACCAAAAAAACTTTAACCTTGATACATTAAATCTTTGAACTTTAACTCCTCTGAGAGCTTTCACACTTCAAAATTTTACAGTTAAGGCGAGATGGGAACAAACCCATTGCGATATTTGATTATAAATGTATTTTAGTCGATGCATTAAACAAATGAAAACTCAATTGTTAATTAATAATGATAATTTAATGCATTTTTACTTCAAAATGAGGAATTTGCCAGTAGAGACAGTAACGTGTATTAATCAAACTCAGTATAAGAATATCAATATGAGTCGTTTTTTAAAGATGGTTCGGACAATTGGGGGAGTAAGTATGTTTCATTGAATGATCTGCAGATGACGAAGACCAAAGGATGATATAAAACGTTTTACTGGTGTCTGATGTTGTCAAAAGACATGTTTGTTTCAGTTATGTTAAACATTCAGTCTTATGGTACTTTTCAAAACACTTAGACAGAGACTTAATAATTAAAAGAGCGAGAACAAAATTCTTTATTGGAGAAACGATTAAATATATGACGTATATATATCCATTATTCGTTACGCAAGAGCATGCTCTACGTATCACACATTTTTTAAACCAGGTATTTTTTATAAAAAGAATTAAGCAAGTTGATAAAAACAAGAATATCAACAGCTTTCGAAAGCGAATATTAAAGTCATCATTTCGTAAGTTCTATGGTCGATACAAAAACCGTGTTAGCAAATACAATTTAACATTGAGAGAAATGCTCATTTCACGTTTTTCATACCAATTGTTAGTCCATTATTTATACACTGAATTGACGATGGATTTTTTCCGTTATTTCCTGATCATGACAACGAGCACACGGCGGGTGTAAATATTTCACAAATATATGTGGCAACTCCTCCATGGCATATCACCAAAGATGTTTCGGAGGTCCGTGTTTGCTCTGCTCTTATTTTGTAAATTGTTTAATGGACGTTGAGATTGAATACTGTTCGTTATCTCTATATCCTTCTTCAAATATGTAATCCTTGTAACACGACCTTTCTTTTGATACCAAAAAATTAGACCCTTTTTCCTTGGAGTTTGACTTCCTTTTTAAAAACTATGACCTTGGCCATAACTTTTGAACAGTAGATTATAGGACTTTCGTATTTCACATATGAACTCGTTGAGGTAAGAAGTTTCATTTAACACAAACGACCTTGAACTTTTGACCTTGACCTAAGAGATTTCCGTACTTATGAAAAAACTTTAACCTTGGCCATAACTTCTGATCGGTAAGGACTAGGGCTTTCCTGCTTGATATATTTAATCCTTGTGACAGGACCTTTCATCGGATATCAAGAACTTTGACCTTGACCTTGGAGTTTGACTTTCTCTTTTAAAACTCTAACCTTGGTCATAACTTTTAACGGCTAGGGCTTTCATACTTCACATATGTAATACTTGTGAGAAGACCTTTTTTCATAAACCAACAACTTTGACCCTTTGACCTTAGAGTTTGACGTATATTTCAAAAGCTTATCCCTGGCCAAAACTTTTGAACAGGTGTTTTAGGGCTTTTATATTTCACAATATTTTTCGTAAGAAGACTTTGGGTAATAATATATTTAATTTACATTTAAGAAAAGTTTAATCTTTGCTTTGTTGCCATACGGGTCATCAGTGTTTCACAAACACGTCTTGTTCCTTATATTGAGAAGAGATATTTCTTTCATATTTGACGTGTGCATTTCTTGTGACAAGATATTTCCGAGGGTGCTATGATTTCTGACCCCTTGACCTTGAACTTCACGTCTGACCTTTTTTTTTTTTTAAATCAGCTTCAGTGATAATTTTCAAATGGCATTTAATAAGGCGTTCATATTTGACACAGTATGTCATAAAAAAATGACATCTCACCCACAAAGACACCGAAAGTGGGACCACAATTCTTTGAATTTGCTTGTTTGAAATAAATACGGCGTTCAATATCAATAATTTTGTTGTTTTATGTCAACTAGAATAAATTTTATCGAAGTTCTGACATTACTTCTGGATCAACCCTCGCATGTTATTTTTTACAACCGATCGTTGCTCGAGTACGACTGAGTCAAATATTTTTCGTAACAAGTATTCTACATATTGTCATCATTTTCAGATTGTGACGTATAAAACATTAAGCAAACCATTCAAAGACATCTGCTTTTTAGAGCATGTGTTTAACTTAATGTTTGACAAATTCCATTTTGATCCAATAGTGGTTTTGTAAATACAGTGTATAGAGAAAGATCGTCAACTCTTTTATCACCCCTCGCAATCAGTCTCTGAAAAATACGGCGGGTCTGAAGACGAGAGAGGATGCTTACTCTTTCAAGACACCTGGTTCTACCTCTATTATATTTTTTATTGCATGATAGTGAGGGAAATATGAAGACTTATTCAGCCAAGAAAATCATATTCCCCGAGGGCTTCGCCCGACGGGGATATGATATTTTGTTGGCTGAATAAGTCTTCATGTTTCCCGAACATTCATGCAATGAATTGTTTATTATAACGAAACAAGCAAAACCTTAGAAATAAACATAAAACTTTCAAATTCGGCACCACTCTCAAATTCAATTTCATTTTTTAACGTAAAATTACTTAACCCTCTCGTCAACACTTTATCATCAATTTTGTGACGTAAAGCAGGTTATTGTGACGTCTACTACTCTTGGGAGTTTTATTTTAATGAACGATAATTATTGCGGGAAAATGCATTAAGTAAGAAGAGGTGGAATATAATGAAAAGCGTGCCGACGACCGGGAAATATGAAGTTTTACGGCCCGATCACGTGATGATTTAGAACCAATCAGAAACGCGTTGTTACAACGCGAAATGTAATAACAACGCGAAATGTAATAAACCTGGATTATTACATTTTGCGTTATTACATTTTGCGTCGATATCAACGCAAAATGTAATGACGCAAAATGTAATAAGACGATATTTTGATTATTACATTTTGCGTTGTTACATTTTGCGTCGAGATTAAGCAAAAGGCAACAACGCAAAATGTAATAATACACTTTTTTCGGCAGCCGGATTCAGTACAATTTTCAATAGTGTAGTGGTCAATGAAAAGAAAATAAACAAAAGGAAAAAACATAGATACATGCAATTTTTTTTATAATTAACAAATTTTGTAATATATTGATTTAATTAGCTACATGTAAAATTTAAAATTAGTTTAATGAACGTATTTTGTATAGGTGTTGCAAATTAGAAATGTGCATGTGTGGGCAGGTTTGTTGGGGGGTATTGACCAGTGTGCTTTTGCTTTTTTTTTTACAGACAAATGCAATTTATCTTTTAAAAAACCTTATTCATTTGTATTGACCGATGTAAATATAAAGCGGGAAGGGGTTTATTGACAATGATGATACCATTCTGTTCCATGTAAATCACCAGTTTTACAGACAAGCAAAAACAAAATTCTCTCTCTCTCTTTTCATCCAATAATAAAATGGATTGTTTCTGCATGTCCACAGTAATACAATAATAAACATACGAAGTAAACACCCCACCCTATCCCTGCCCTCCTCGCTTGACACACACATACACTTCTAATTTGTTAACCAATGTATACATGCCGAACATGCATATAAAGAACTGTTAATGAACTTATGATCAATTTTTGATAATTGCATATTTGTTATTGGTTAGATATTTAATAAGACTATCAAAAATATGCCGATCAAAGTTAAATTAATTCTGTATAATTAAGTACAGTGTATTCAATATAACTAAAATCAGAGTCAGAAAAACGATACATTTAGATGTATTTATATCCGAAAAAGCCCTAGCGTTGGTCCTATTGTTTTAGTTCTAAATATTTTTACAGCGTGTGTCCCATGTTGGTTACATGTATATATTTGAATCAATTTTATGATCTTTTTTGTGAAACGCAATTGAAAAAATTAATTACATTTTGTTTTATTACATAACGTTTTATTACATTTCGCGTTGTCTTCAGTGCAAAAATAAAATAACGCAAAATGTAACAACAAAAAAGCACGTTATTACATTTTGCGTTGTTCTCGACGCAAAATGTAATAACGCGAAATGTAATGATTTAAAAATCGTGTTATTACATTTTGCGTTATTACATTTTGCGTTGATCTCGACGCAAAATGTAAGAAAGCAAAATGTAATAATCCAGGTTTATTACATTTCGCGTTGTTATTACATTTCGCGTTGTAACAACGCGTTGTGTAGAATATTTATAATGAGGTATAATAATATCTTTTATCCGTGTTTTTCGCTCTATCCATAAATAGCGCTCAATAACGACAATGTGTTATTTATTATATTCAGCATGTTCATTGCGTGTAGGTAAGGACTTGAAGCCGATTCAATATTTTGTCTTTTTAAAATGTTCATCAGGCTGACCTACGTCATATGACTTCATTGTTTAGGTTTATTTTTCACTTTAGGTTCTACGTTAAGGTATGTCACTTGTCAGCAATTTAGAAAAGTTCACGCAGAATCTCTTACTTAAACACTATTTGTTTTAATTCAGTTTGCAAAAACATATTTAAATTCAATTATGTATATTATTAAACATTCCATGAAAAAACTGCTCAAAAATCCACAAAGAAAATAAGATTTTTGAGGGACTATTTTTTGTGGTAGAAGGATATTAAGCAGAAAATTCTGCAAATCTGCACATTTATTAAATTTAATATTTAAACTTATACTCGGAGAATAATTTTCGTTATGAAATGCTAGGAATATTAAATAAAGGTCTCAATTTATATTATTTAAACAAATTTTACATCTTCCTTCAACAAACTTTGCCGAGAAATGATGATATGTCAAAAAAGTCAAAATAAAATTTGCGCCGTTTTTCGAAAAATATTTCAAAATTAACATCACTGACCCCAACTTTTTCTTTCATTATTTTAAACTACGTGGTAGTTGTCACTGATCAGCACTTTTAAAAGTCGTAAAAAGTTTGATACAAGGAAATAATTTATTACTAATATAGATTTAAAATACCCAAAATGTTACTTTTTAGTGCAAAAGGTCAAACAATAATTGACGTGCATTAAATTGCACGATCTTTTCAATGATAAATATTATTTAAACTAGTTTACGTAAATAAGATTATATTTATTGCCATATGGTTACTTTTGATAAAATTTATAAAGTTAAAGTAATTAACCAAAGAGTTAAAATTTAAGTGCAAAAAGGTCAACTTAATTGTACCGTTGCTCAGTAAAACGCACACTGACCCACTATTTTCTCTGCTATTTTGAGTCATATTATATGAATACTTATCCAAAATATACTTCTCAAAAATCCTTAATTTAACAAATTTCACGAGTGAATACCTTAATACTTATTAAAAAATTCACAGTAATTACAACACGCCGATTTAGATCCACCCAAAACGGAATATTCCCATTAGCATATTGATGTAAACTTCCGGCCCCCCTTTAGTTATTTCTCGCATTGTTGAAGCAGTAGATCGAGTTTGACGAGAGATTTTTAATATTTGCAAGGGTGATGCGCCCTTGTGGTTGCACTGGCCATAAGTTTAGACCTCGAAAGACTGGAAACAGAACGAATATGGTTGCAGGGAATTTTTTTTACGGAGTTTCAGACGAAAATACAAGTGAATGATCAACTTTTTAAAAATCCAATGTGGCGGTCTCGATGGGTACCTTGTTTATAATTAGGTATGGGTATTTTTTTTAAATAAGTAACGTCAGGTGCCTGTGATTTTTTGAGATAGATTTCTGTTCGTTATCATCACCTTTTCATCAGACAAAGTGGGTGTAAAGACATGAATTCTATTCTCTTAAGTTGATACATAAGTAATAATAATAATTTAAAATAGAGATTATAACGAGTTTATAAAGTCTGCATAGAAATAATGTAAAATTATTAATCTCCTAAATTCTCAATTTCGTGGTTGTACATGTACATCTATTATCATACATGTACATATTTCACCAACCTGTTCCGGAGAAAGATCAGGAATAGCGTCATCTCGAATATCCCTGGTTTTGAAATCAGCATCAAGAAGATTCTCAAGTTTTCGTATTCCTGCATCAAGATTTTTCTGATCATCTGCAAACACAACAATCGTTACCGATGATTGATCATCAGGTTTGTCACCCAAAACTGGGTTCCACTGCCCGCTACCGTCAGACTTTTCACCTATAAATAAAAAAAAAACGATAAAGATTTTACATCCTTACTCTTTACAAATTACGAAATGTGAAAAAAGGGAAAGACGCGTAAAGATATTAAGGACACAGTTTTTCTAATTCAGGTGAAAATTAATTTACAGTTCAATCACTGAACTAAACGTATATGATTATAACATTTTTTTTTTCATACATATAATACATAATTGCTTCTTCCTGACTCAGACATACGACGAGGAGATTCATCTCCTTTAAAAAGCGTTTTGCTATAGCAATATTCGAGGAGTTATTTTTTTGTAAAATTTTATAGATATTGAACTCTCTTAATTTTATCAGGCAGTGAGACAAGGCAGCAATAAAAAAAGGCTATAAATATCGGCATCAGTACATTTCATCATGAGAACATGCCCATAGTGTCCAGGAAACAATGTATTGTTATTCATGAAAATGTTTCATGACATCAGAATGCGTTTCTCAGAATGCGTGTGTTACAGTATCAATGAATGAAACAGCTTTCGTTTACTTTGATTTTAACATGATTTAAGCAAAATCCGTAAACATGGGGCCACAAGTTACAATTTTTTTTAGGGTTTAACACTAACTACAATCATGACAGTTTGACTGCTTGATATCTAGATGTAAAGATTGCATTGATTTTGAAATTTTGATTTTTCTGGTCTAGGCCTCAGGCGAAAGTTGGACAGGAACCACGAATTTCGCGAACCGCGTCAGGCAAATCATTTTTTGGCACAATGCATATATCAATCAAACAAAACTAAACGAAACAAGATGAAAACCCGCAGTATGCATCTGATTACATGTAGACGGTAATAACGGTCGCAAATATTTCACGAGAAGATGATTATTTCCTAATGTGTAAAAGAAAACTGTTATACGATGATAGAGCACAATGAACAGCCATATATATAAGAAAAGAAAGTAAAAGGCTTACTCAGTGGAACAATGAATCGTACCGGTTACATAATATTTAACTGTATCCTTTATTCCTGTGAACAAACCCTTATGTTGTGACTCAAAACATTTTTCCATTTCTACGATGAACTGTATGGCTTGTTGGTGATCAAAAATAATCACATGGACTTCTGCTAAATTCTTCACTGAAGACAATTTGTTTAGTCCATCAAAAACCTCTTGAGCAAAGTCCTCTATTTTCCTCTGGTAAAAGCTTTGTTGCCCTAAAGATTATTAATATTCAGGACATTGCATGTATAAGTACATTACAGAAGAATACTTAAAAAAATGCATATATTTGTCTGTTATGTAAATTTACTAATAAATAAACGTGTATTTCATCATGCATGAACAATATCTTCCAAACATTTTTCAATCTATATACGGTAAAACAGCTCATGGAGAACCCTGTATATGGCTTCAGTTTCCATTATTAATTATATCCTTAACAATCGCTGAACATTATGCATGAATGAAACACAGATAAAGATTTGTTTTTACGTTTGAAAGTAACTGCTAAAATGCTAAATAAATTGAATTTGTTTTAAACAGATAGGTCTTTCCTTTAGAACAATGTCTCTAAAAATGTGTTAGAACTGTGAGTCTAACATAGCATTGTAATGAAATACAGGTATATGGACAAAAGAAACAAATACATGTATCTGTAAATTAATGCAAAATATTAATATTTTCCATAGTTTTATCAAGAGTATGTGTATGAATGCCAAATTTTTGTAAAGTTATCATTTATCAATTCTTATCTTTTGATCTTATTGATTATTCTTGAGGAAATCATTGTCGTATCAATTAAATGCAGAATACAAATTTTGATAATAACTTAACTTAACGGTAATATAAACGTAAAGATAATGTTAAAATTTATTTACCTGTTCCTAGGGCTGGCAGAGCTAAGGTTTTTATGCCTATTTCTTCTGCTTTTCGAAAGACACTCATAATGCTCTTTTTGTAATTTCCACCAGCAACATTCACATGGATGATGTACTTTGATGGCAACTTTGACTTATCGCCATTTGCAGTAACTGCCAAACCATATTCATGCATGTTTTTTTCTATTCGTAAATATTCAACAAATTACTTTTGTGTTTAACCAGTATAATACTGTACAGAAATGGCAAATATAGGTTAAAGTTGGGAAATCTTTATATCAAGTACATTTACTAACTTTGAATATCTATCTGCCGTTGAAGCTCTACCCCTAATTTAGACATGATCGCTCTAGACACCTCTCCTACAAAATACGTGAAATAATAAAAATCTTGTTAAAAAACACATTTATTATTTACCAAAACCCACATTCGTTTTTCTTTTATTAAAAAAAAATTAAAAGATAAACTCGTCATTTTGAAAACAAGATGTGTTTGTGAAATAATGATGCTCCTGTTTGGCAACATACAAAGACTAATTAATTAAAAACTTTTCGTAAATGCAAAATTGATATATTTGTTCCCAAATTTGCCAATAACTTTTGATTTAGTGGAGCTATGAATTTTATATTTCATATGTGTATTCCTTGTGACATGACATTTCTTTGGGTACCACCAAATTTGACCTTATGACCTTTACCTTGGAGTTTGACCAACTTTTACACAAAATTTCCGAACTACTTTAATTTTTGTCCATATCTTCAAAACAGTAGACACCAAGACTTTTGAACTATACTGTATGAATTTGTTGTGGAAAAACGTTACATTGGGCACCAACAACTTTGACTTTTTGACCTTGACCTTGAAGATTTTTGTACTTATGAAAAATCTTGGCCATAACTTTCAAATGGTAAGAGCTAGTGCTTTCATAATTCACATATATAATCCTTGTGACAAGACCTCTGAAATTGACCTACTTTTAGAAGTTTAACCTTGGTCATAACTTTTGAAAGGTTGGGACTAGGGCTTCCAGATTTCACATATATATTTTTTGTGGCAAGACCTTTCATTGGATACCAATCACCTTGACCCGTTGACCATTTACATTTCAGTACCTATGAAAAACTTTAAACTCGGCCTATTTTTATATATTACAATTGTACAATTGGGACATCAGTGTTTTCACAAACACATCTTGTTTTTACCAGATTTCTTCCCTTGTAAAAGCTTTTGTAACCCCATCCTACCCAAAGGGTCATAATTTGGACAGATTAAAAAAAAAACTACATTATCCTACAATGCTTTTGCATAAGTTTCAGCTTTTCTGGCCTTGCTGTTCTCGAGATAAAGAAGATTTTAAAAGGTTTTCCTATATGTTTCAATGTAAAACTTTGATTATCTATCATGGCCCCACTCTACCCCCGGGAGTCATGATTTAAACAATTTATAATCTACACTATTCCAGTACGCTGCTACATAGGTTTCAGCATTTCAGGCCCATTGGTTACTGAAAGAAGATTTTAAAAGACGTTTACATATTTTTAAAGTAAAACTTATTCCCTATTATGGCCCCCCAATCCCAAGGGGTCATGATTTCAACAATTTATAATCTACACTACCCTAGAGATGTTTCCACATAATTAAGCAGTTTTTTTGTGGCCCAGTAGTTATTGAGAAGAAAATTTTTTAATTTTTTGACCCCATATATTTCTATGTAAATGTGATTCTATGTGATTTATCTCCCAATTCACGGGAGGTCATGATTTTAACATTTTAAGAATCTACACTACCCCCAAGATGCTTTGTAACAAGTTTGGTTTTCTGGCCCAGCGGTTCTTCTGAAAAGAAGATTTTCTCTATGTATTTCAGTATAAAACTTGTGACAGTTTTATAAAACTTGTAAAACTGTGACCCCACTCTACCCTTAGGGGTCATAATTTGAACAATTTAGAATTTATACTCCTCTATGATGCTTCCACATAAGTTTAAGTTTTTTCTGGCCCAAAGGTTTCATTTCAAAATTTCAATGCCAATAATTTTTTCTTCATACAAATGCCTAAGGATTTGAAAACATAAATTAATCAAAAGTAACACGACTGATGAACGGTTAAAAATATGAAGTTCATTAATAATTGTTATCGTAGTAAGTTTAAAAAGTTACCTTTACTGAGATCCATCTCAATATCAGTACCATTCACGATGGCATCGACATCAGCCAGAGTAATGTCCCCTTGGTACATGCGCAGTTTTATGGGACCAATATCTACAGAGACCTCCTTTTGACTGTCAGAACCAAATGTCGTTCGAACATGGTCACCTCCGTGTCGTTTTCTTTGGGCCTTTTGCTTTACGTGTATAGGTTCCCTTGCCCTTTTACTTATTTCTTTTTCAAAGGTCTGTTCAAATAAAGGTTTTTGGATTCGAAGAATATTATTAGTTATAATGATTTAACCATTTTCTCAAAAAAAATTATAAACTTCGAAATCAATTGCAACAGTAAGATAGACCCATTCATTCAATATTATACATTTATTGCATGATAGTGAGGGAAAAGTGACTTGTCAAGAAAAATCAAGCCCTTTTTATATATATATTTTTTGACACACAATCATGTATCTTGTACTGTCTTCCATGATGTAAACCTTGTTTATTATACCGAAAAAGCAAAACCTTTGAAATAAACTTTCAAAATCGGCACCACTCTCAAATTCACTTTCATTTTTACGTAAATTTTGAAGTTACTATAAAACCCGTTGGTCAACATATTATTATCAATTTTGTGACGTAAACCAGGCTATTGTGACGTCTACTTTCTAAAGATTTTCAATAATCAAATATTGCGGGAAAATATATTAGTGTTAAGAGGTGAAACCACGGCCGGGAAAAGAGTTTATACGGCCCGAAAACAATAACTTATCAATCAGATAACCCGTTGTTTAGAATATTCATAATGAGGTATAATAATATACTTTACAATTAGCTAGATTTACAATTAACAGAAAAAATAAATATTTATCGTACCTGAATGCACTCGTTGTCTTTCTCATAAATAACAAATTCCACATCTCTCAAACATGTATGTGGATAGTCGTTAGAAAAGTTGACAATAGCATTGCACATTTCCTCTGCTACTATATCTTTTGGATAACCAAGGTTCCCAGTTCCAAGGGCCGGGAAAGCAATGCTGGAGAGCTTCTTATTCTGCACTTCTGTCAAACAGGTCTTCATAAATTTCTGCAGACCCTTTACAACAAAAGTACAAATACAATTAACTGTAACAAAAAACTGAATAACCTTGAGTATTACGATTACTATGACATTCTACTGATACGTGATAGAAAGATCATGAGTTTGAACCCATGCTGCGACTGACCAAAGTCATAAAAAATTGGAAACAACATATTATTGCCATACGTTCGGAATTATGAAGTGAAAGCTGTGGAATATTTGAATGAGACCTTAAAAAGGAGAACCCGTGTCACGATAGGCGTTGGCACGATAATTACCTCTCACTGCTCCATGGGCCTGAGTGTCGAGTAAAGGGCTAAAGAATGGGTGGACTTAATTGTCCAGAAAAAATGCCGTACATTTAAGTTCATAAAATGTTCATAAAATGTTTATTTTTTTCTATCATATACATGTAAGCCCCGTTATTTTAACCATGTATTCATGGTACAGATGTGAATTTAAAACGCACTTTTCGTGGTAAACTAAATAAATATCGAAGGCATGGTGTCTGAAGATTTCTTGAATATCAATAGATAATCAAGGTCACGCGTTTTTCATCGTCTGAATACATAGTCAGTGCATGTTTGTCGACAGTTCTTAAGAAAACTGTAGTTGTATATTGAATAAAATAATGTCATATTTAAAGGAGACGTGCTGACAAACGTGCGCTCACACTTAATTGAGCAAAAAAACATGTTCAAAACCACCTTCTCGCTTCCATTGTTATTACTGCAATTGACCTGTTAAAGCCGCTTAACCCGAAACAGGCACATATTATCTTACACAATAAAAGTACGTCATTACATAGATAATATATAAAAATAAATTATAGGATTGATTTAATAGTGTATTACAACAATCCTTACATGGAAAACGCGTATCAAAAACCTTAATGACAAACAGCAGTTCCTGACGGAAGTTAAGATCTGTTGTGAAGTCAATTTTGAAAAAAATAAATTTATCGGTTATATCTCACAATGAAGATTATTCAAACCCGAGAATTTTTTCTCAATTAGTAGAACCTTAGGCATAATACATTTTTTTCAAAATTAGAAATTAATTGAATATAATCCATAGTAATTTTTATATTAATATGCATATTTAAAGAATAAAGGAAAATTAGATATTTTAAATGATTTTTTTAAAGGAGCAAAAAATACTGTCTGTGTACAGGTAATATATGTACTCTGTTGTGAAGAAAATGCTCGGGTTTGTTCTTCATGAGATAAACATGTAAGCGATAAATTTAATTTTTCGAAGGTGATTTCACGCGATATCAACAATGATCAAGATAGGATTATTTTTTGTGTGACCAAACAAAAATTTATTTTTTAACTTTTGAATTTTGATATCTTTTAAAAGAAAAAAAACTTTGGGGATATAATTTGACAAAAGTTGAAACAATTTATGGACAATTATTTTTCAAGAAGAAAAATGAATATATATTTTTAGCGATTAGAATTGGACCAAGCGACTTTAAATATTACAATTTATCACGTGATGTCCACCTGCGAGTGTACTCGTGAAAGCAGTTACATTGTATTCTATCTGACCTCGTTGTAAATTATGTCTTTGAGTGTGTTTGGTTGCCGTTTTCAGAATTTAGCAAATTAAATATTGTTTTGATATTGCGTGTCATCAGACTATTCTTTAAATAAGTTCATATTGAAATCGCTGTAATATGCTAAACAAGTATTCGATTTTTAAGAGAGAGAGAGGGATAGAGAGAGCGAGTAAACAATGACGCCGATTGATAGCCCCGCCTCCTATAAATAATGGGATCTAAAAACATCTCCGGATACATGTTAGATTCCGGAAGACGACACTTACATGTATATATCGTTGCTTCAATTTGATAAATGGCAACAGGGCATTGATTTTGTACAAATGTTCCATCTAATATAACCAAGTATATGTTGCTCTTTCCATTGCTTGTAACATATTTTGAATTCACTTCATTTACAGCTTGGTAGACGGGAGTCGAAAAAAGATCCAAAATAGGGCTTTTAGTCCACTCATTCTTTGAGTCTCACACTACCTACATGATCACATCTCTGTGCGAGTGATCCTACAACTCTTATCAGTGAAAAAAAAATCTTGCCATCTTTGTCAATTATTTCCAGCAATAATAAATTCTATTCTTTGTTTGTTAATTAATTGCCAATATTTACACATGTTCTTAATCATAAATTGTCATTTGAAGTTAATAAATGTTATATATAAATACAAAAATAGCACAATATACTACAAACCGTTTTCGCAACTCCTTTCTCTTTGTCCCAGTTTTGAAGAGCCCCATGAAATATGCTCCTGCATTTCAATTTCCCACCACTAGTTTCTGCAATGTCTCCGAACTCTATGCCATGGGGATACTTAAAATGACACTCGCGCTGAATATCCTTTCCTCCCACTTTAAGGAGGGAAGCCGATACCGCTCCTTGGTTCAGATTTAAATCCTTTGCCGCTGTATTCACGATTACATCCACCTATAAATACCAACTTTGCATTACTTGTATTGAAGCAGAGATGAATCAAAATCAAATTATCCCTTCGTTTCTCGGTAGTTGCATTGTGCTGACTTCCTGTTCCTTTGTTCCCTTCGGTTCTCCGCAGGTCATGTGACCTGGAGTATGTATAAATATGGAGACATTCGGGTTGATTTAGTTATCTGTCACTGACGGCTGTTTAGGAAAACCGTCAACAGAAGAATCAAACGTGGTAGGTACTGCAAGGGATACTCTGAATCATGTCTTATGTGTCTATAATAGACTTTCGAGACTTTGATAGGTTATTGATATATTTCATATAAAGTACCTTGCTATTTTGTTTGACTGAAGGTATAATTTAGCGGATGCGCTTCAGTGTTTGGAAGGCGTGTGTGCTCTCGAGAAACGAAGGAGTTTAGTGTGTATATTATTAATGTAAATTTGTGATTGAGAAAATTGATTTATTCTTTAATTGTTCAAGTAGAACAACCGAATTTCATAAAAGAACCAGAAAACGATACAGTATTATAAAGGGATAATTGTTTCAACAAGTTGCTGTTTAATTAATGAAAAACACAGATTATTTAAGTTGCAAATATAAGCAATATTAAATATCTATTATCAATTCCGTACATATTATCAACGCATATCAAATATCAAAGTAAGCATTCAACTTTAAAAGTCAGTGCTTCTTGCAAAAGTCCAATTGTAAAATTTAAAAAAAGTTTAATTTAAAACCTACATGAATATACACTAAACCTAGATTTTTTAAATTGAATTTTGGTTAGAAAAACTTGCACATGGTCAACGTATTGCAGTCCTTTTTTAAATAATCTGTGTTATTCATTAAATAAACAGTGCATTTAATTGAAAAAAAACCGAGTATGTACCTTTCTTTGAGCCATTTGACCTTTCACTACTTTGACACATATATCTCCTGTTTTAAATTCTGTATCATGTGATTGAGTTTGACCTGAAATTGAAATTAGATGTAGAGAGTGCTTATAAAATTTACAAGCAAAGTTAACGTCAAGTACGATAGTGTTAATTCTAAAGGATTAAAAAAAACAGTTTTATATAACTAAAGAATTTATTTAGTCTTTTTTCCAAAACTTTTAAGAAAGGAATTCACTTTTTGAATCTTTTCGAAAGAATATTCATTTTTTATTTTAAAAATTAAAAAAAAATTATTTTAAAATTTCAAAAGATATTATTTCTTCTGGATACAAAAAGCTTGACGATTTCCCGATTAATGACATTAGGCTGAATACAAACAATTTGTTTTTTTGAAATCTTTATTTAAATGAGAAGGACCCTTTCAAAATTTTGATATAATGTAATTATAATTGATATTTTTCTTTACTTCTCATTGTGCATAATGGTAACAAGTTGAAATACAAATTATGTTGTTTTGAAATTAAAATCATGTGTGCAAATTATATGCCTATTGAAATAAATAGTCATATATTAGCCAAAATCAATGTGATTAAAGTTAAAATATAAATTTTGTATACACTGAAATTCAAGAGTTCAATGCTGCTAAGAATACCTGTATCAAATAACACATAGTAAGTTATTCTGTCCTCGCAGCAGAGTTAAGGTTTGGTTACAACTGTACATTTGATTGTTACGATTTGACGGCCTTACTTTTTTTGTATCGAGATATTGTATACATAAAGGATAGATAATTGAAAGAAAATACACACATAAAAAAAATTAAAATGGTCTTCAAAATAACACAAAATGAAATTATTTGCATTCCACGGTGTATTTTATACAACTGAGATAGTCTTTCTATACAAACGTTAAAAAACTTAAAGCTATTACATTACATTTTTTGCAGGTTTTTTGTGTTTGTTAAATCCCACACTACAGCATATAAACAATGCATCAAAATACCACAATTGCACTTGTCTATGTGAAGTCAAAATTCACGCAAAAATCAACGCTTAAAAGGACAAAATGTTGTACACATGTTTAAGTAACTTGTAAATAATAACATTTTGTACAAAATTTGAAAAATGATATATATTGAAAACAACAAATAAAATATTATTTGCACTTTTTAAATAAAAGGCAATTCTTTTGTCAAAGCGAATACATCCTTTACAAAAATTATTTTAAAATTTCAAAAGATATTATTTCCTCTGGATAAGGAAAATTTGAATCCCTGCATTACGTAAAACAAAGAATCTGATACTGTCAAAATTTTGATATGTGTTTAGTATGCAGATTCTTTAAAAAGTAATATGTTGTTTTGAAATTAATCATTTATTGCAAGGAAATAGTCAATTTAATTCTTATTAGTTAAAATGAGATTTTTTTACACATCAACTCAAGAAGCATTTAGGTATTTGAAAAGTGATGTCACACATGATATAAGGTCTTCAAAATAACACAAAATGAAATCTTGCAAATAAATAAATTATAGCTATACTAAATGTAGTTGACCAGCAAAATAATTAACCTGCCATCCAACAGATGAAATTTTAGCAATTAAAGAAGGGAATCTATATATGTTCGCAGCTCTTTTTACAAACTACATATATTGTTGAAAAGGAATATGAATTAAAGTAAGATTGTTAACTTGGTTATGCCCTTGCAATATTGGAATTTATAGATGACATCTAAACTGCAAGTATAATTGCTAAAATCATTTGATGTCGACATCACGTGACAAGTCTAAATAAAAAATCTAAATGTCCCCAACATGTAAAATTAAACCACATTACATTCTTTTGATATCAATGAAGTCCTAAAATGAATCACCCATCCTAACAAAGTACATGTATGTATTTTCTATCTTAAAAAATCGCCGATACATGTTTTTCCATTTGTAACATTAACTGTACTGCATTTAATTACTTGTATAGTTTCTCCTTCATGAAAGTCGGTTCTCTGACGTAAGAGTATTCGGTCCTTCAATTATAAATAAGAACTTAAAACCAAGGCCCAGTGTCACGGTACGTTATCGTACGCATTATAAAGATCCCTCACTGCTCAATCCCTGAGTACCTACATGAACCTATAATTTTTCTATATATAAAGCCCTGCACCGGTATATGGTGACAACTGCACATAAGCAAAAGAAGTTTTGGAACGGGACACAAACTAACATTCATTCTATCGATGGAATACCCCCCTCTCTTGTTGCTACATGTAAACAATTCAGACCGTCTGCATGTCAACAGTGCAGTTTCTAGAAAGAAGGGAAAGAAATCATACATATGTTAAATTTTGACTTTGAGATATTGTTAACCAACTTTTATTCGCGTGCAAGAAATATCCGCGAGTTTCTCGAATTACTTTAACTTGCGAACAATAATGGCAACGAACCATGTCCTTTACTTTGTATTTGTAGAGAATATTTCCTCTGTCGCGAAAATTAGATTGCTTGATTGATTGTATGTTGTTTTATGTCCATCTCAAGAATTTTTCACTCATATGAAGACTTCACTGTATGCCGGTGAAGGGCTTCAAATTTTGACCTTTACTCGGCACTCAGGGCCATTGAACGTGAGTTATCTTTATCGTGCCAACGCTTGTCGTTACACGGGATTTCGGTTTTTTAGGTCTCATCCGACGACACGCAACTTTTACTTCAAGTGCCAAGCGAAAGGCGAAGGAACAGTTGCTACCCATTTTTTGTCGACTTAGGTTGGTCGCGGCCGAGATACAAACTCACGACCTCCCGATCACGAGCGAAAATGAGAATTACTGGATTAAATTCAAACATGAATCGCAAATGAATGACAGTTAGGTCCACCGATTCCTTCTTAAAGATGAACACGATTCTTTAAAGAAATAAGCCAGCCATTTTTGTTCGAAAAATCGCTATACATGTACCTGCAGACCCCTACACACAGGGCAGGACTTATTCTTTTTTTTCAGTGTAACCTGTCGACCACGGTGTAGACGGACGTCTGCTATACAATACTCGGTAGCAACAATAACAAGAATAGATATGGGTTACCCCATATCCAAAGATATTCGACTGTTAGATTTAATATGTTTAACAGTGTTTATAATGACGTTAATAAAAAAAACTGCACTGTCTAATTATGGAACTGTTTTAAATTTCGTGATTCCATAGCATTACGGTCACCCAGTCTCCTAACAAACAGTACACATAGGCCTACATGTGCAAGACCAATTTTAGCCTTGGTCTACACACGTGCAATGGAGCTGTCACACGCATCCAGCGAGCTCGGAGAAACACAGAAGTTACGGTGTACAAAACGTAATTAGATCATATAAAACGTAATTCTGATTAATAAAAATTATACAATCCATGTTGAACTATATATAGTTTGTTCTAACATTTTCATCTGCAACAACTTGTGTTTAAAATGGCCGGGTTGGGAAAATCAGGCCCGGGTCGGAAAATTCTAAACTGAAAACCTTTTTTTGTTTTGAAAATACTGAAATATATATGTATTTGTCGCAGAAATTACTTACATTATTCAAGTTCTATATATAATGGTATATGCTGAACTTCAACACGAACCCGAATCTCCAACCCAGTTCTCGTTTTGCCACACATACCCTACAGTTTACAAAGTGTCACAGGATTGAAAATTCCGTCATTTAATAATACACATACACAGAATGATTAATTTTTTCTTTAAGAACAAATTGTATGATAATTAACGGGCTATAAACATGTACTTAATACAATTGTTGATATAGTATTTTTTGGTGAAAAGATATGAATCGAAGAATGACCTAATTATTCTCTGTTATCAAACATGTAAAAAAAAAAGGCTGAGGAATAGAATATTGATATTTTTATTTGCATTTCGGGGGGAAAGTGACTTTCTAATGATATCTTGACGTTATTTTTGATTTCTTTAACGTTTGACATACACAACTAAATACTCTTATCATGAACAATAATGTTGTATTTTATTTGGAAGGTACAATGTGTGAGCTGCCGCTTTTATATATCTTGCAAAGATAGTATGCATTGATCGAATATATGAAAACTTAATACTTCATCTAAGTAAGAAAGCAAGATACCAAAGAAACACAATTATAGCTGTACAGGTCAGTGCGGTATACTAACAAACACATTTACACGTAACTGTAATCAAATGTTATGCAAGTTAACCAGCACGAAAACGGGTCACCATTCCACGCCGATACCCGTGGCAAATAAATCAGTCAGGTGTGACAAATTTGACGAGTATACCCTGGTGTTGATGTATCGTAGATAATGATATCGAAAATACCTACTTCCGAGTCGTGTTCAGCTTTAAGTGTCTTCCAAAGGACCCGCCGAAGGACCCGCAAATTTCCTTTAAAGTGCTGCGCTTGGCGAGGAAACCGATTATCGTATTGTATACCTACTTTTTATCGAAACAGAACTGTCGCGGACGATATTCGATTGATTGATTGTTTATTATTTAACGTCCCTCTCGAGAATGTTTCACTCATATGGAGACGACACCACTTGCCGGTGGAGAATTGCAAATTTTGTCCTATACTCGGCACTCAGGGTCATTGAGCAGGGAGGGATCTTTTTCGTGCCAGCACCTACTGCGACACGGGACTTCGGTTTATACGGTCTCATCCAAAGGACGGTTAAAAGCTAGTTTGGATAGTTAACTTTAAAAAAAGAAATTAATGGTGCATGTAACTTAAAAACGAAACTTTATTATAAAAGTGATGAAATTATCTTTTCTATCGTGCGCTGTCCAGACGTTTTAAGCAATATACCCTTATCACAGAGAAGCAAATGACGCATCTGAAGGGGGGATTTTATTTATTGAAAGAAATCTGCCTTACCATCTTTGAAATATGCGGACGCAAGGTCATCCACATTTTGAAGCTTGCCCTTAAACTCTTGCTTTACTGCCTCGTTGAAACATTTTACAGTTTCTTCCCGCACATCACACAAAATTATTTCTTTAATTGTGGATCTTGTTCTGTTCTTTAGAAATGATTTTATTGCTTTGACAATGACAGAAGTGGCTTGGTTAACAGGGTAGCCAAATATGCCGGTACATAATCCAGGTATTGCAATCGAGTTATAGCCCCTTGTTTCTGTTTCTGTCAATGCCGATTCAACACAGTCCGTAAGGCGCTCACGCTCTAGATTCATTCCATTTCTCCAAGTGGGTCCACAGGCATGAACAATCATTTCGCAGGCCAGTTTCCCTGCTATTGAGCAGAAAGTGTCTCCTTCAGACAGCTTTCCATTTCTTCTAACGTGGTCTGAACATTCGTTTTGAATGCCATTACCACCTAAAAGGAAAGCAAAGTGGATTTATTCTAATATTCAACAAAAGTAATCACTTGATTGCTTTGAGGTTTGTTTTTAAAAGCAAGGACAGTTTTAGACCTTTTTGGCCCTGTGTTTTTTTTTTCAAGAATCGAAACTGCTCAGTTTTGGTTTAAAATGAAGTGTTTTTCACTTGAACCCTTGGTAGTTGTGTTTCTATTGAATACGTCGTATGCTTTTCTCAAGTCAATTGATCATGACGTCATAAACTGCGTTCTGTTCCCAGATTCCAGATTTTAAAATGTCCAAACGTTAAAGTATATTTTTTATATTTTACTTTTTATATTACTCATATTCTGTGGCCTTCAATATTTAGATATATCGACGACATGCTGTCAATTAACAATGGTTATTTTCTATATCGATACGATATATCCTGGCTAGCTTGAGACAAACGATACCATAGAGTCTGATAAATCTGTTTTATATTTGGAAATACTTGAAAAAGGACGTTAAAAGGACGTTAATGGTAATATAACAATAGAGCTTTATGATAAAAGAAATGACTTTAACATTACAGTCGGCAATTTCCCGTACTTACAGCAGCATGTCTTCATCATCTGCATATGGAGTTTATATCTCTCAGTTAATTCAATACGCAAGAGCATGCTCTACTACATGTACAATTACTAAAATAAGGTAAATTATAGACAAACAGGCTGTCAAAAAAAGAATATCAGCACTCTCGTTTAAAGTCATCATTTCGGAAAATCTTGGCCGATACAATGACCTTGTCAGCGAACTTTGAAGAGAAACTTGTACCGCGCCATAAAGCGCTTGCGGAGAAAAGGTAACGTCATATTTCACCTGTACTATTACCTATTTCAAACGCAAAATCACGCATATACCGTTTCTCGCAATCATGCATTTTTCACGCACTTTCAAAAGTACTTTTAAGTGTATGTTGTGTCACAGATCAGTAAGTTGTAAAGATATACAAGACGTTTTAGCTCTTAAATTGCTCGTTATCATCACATATTTCCCTCATACATGTATTTCGTATATTGATATCACTCACATTTTAATTTGTCGTATTCGTCAAAACTTATGCATTTAAAACAAAGCCTGTTTTCAAATATTTGAATTCTCAAAAATAAATTTTCTTGGAAATGAAAGCAATAAGTCTCTCCTTTATTTTGCTGTAAAAAATTGAACAGTGAATTATAGATAAGTAATTGATTTCGATACTGGCCAATTCCAGACCTAGATCATTTAACGTCACTTACGGTTTGGTAAATGACCTAACATTGTTTTATTTCTTCCAATGTGTGAGAAGTGCTGGCCAGGGCAGGACATCAAAATTCTGCTGGGGAATAAAGTTTCTGACAACACAGACAACATGCAGTCTGGTGTTTTCCAGTTACAGGTTATACGGAATTTGTTTGAACGGTATCGCATAACGTTGATTTATTTCATCCTTTAGCGCGCAAATTCGTGTACCTTTTAGGTTTTTTTTTATTGTCAGTAAGCTGGTAAGGGAATTCTGTGACTATTGCTTGCTGAAATTCGACCCTTAGCCCATTGCGCTACCGCTTCCAAACTGTTGACGTTGCACTACAAGATCCGATTAATACTACCAATATTCGAGAAAAACACATCAGCGACTAGTGCTGATGACCAATTAAATTTTTGATTAATCAGTGAACGAAACATGTCTTAAAATGTCTTGCCTTGTATTGAAATTGGTACCTTAGTTAACTCCGACATTACCTCGGAGCAGTATTGACCGTACATGTATCGCAGGACGTCTAGTTCTGATGTTAAATTCGCACAAAGCGATTATGTACAGTTCTTGTATTTATGCACTTGAAATGCTACAGAGAGAGAGAGAGAGAGAGAGGAGATGGTCTGAAAGATTTTTATTTCCGCTAAGTATTGTATGTAGGGGCGATTAATATTTTCTGAACTTGATCTATAAAATAATGTCATGTTATCAAGTTACATTATCTTTGTTGACTAAAGGTGCATCCTTACATTTACACATGTTTATGCATTTAGACAGTTTTTAACTTAGGTGACATTGTAGAATTACACGCCTTATAGAAACAATCATAATTTTGATGTTTTTGAAAAGAGTTCATATTTTAATATTTCAAATGACTGTGAATTAAACTCCTACCTTTTTAAAATAGTATAAATGTACCTTTCTCAACAATGACCCCCGCAAGTCCACCCTGATGATAAAGTTCTTGGTTGGCAGCATTAACAATCACGTGGACACGAAGAGCAGTCAAATCACCAGATTTAACTTTTATACTAACACCAGCTTTAGTTATATATTCGGTCATATTTTTATTTGAGGTTTGGCCCCGTTTTATACCCGATTCTGAAGAAGTACTCAAAAAATTTGACAAATCTGTCGATCCTTCATCGCCAATTTGAATGTAGCAGGTGTGATGTTTTTCAACTTCAGAAATTTTTATTTTGCCGGTCGAACTTTTTAAATGTTTGGCAATTCCTGGTTTCTCAATTTTTTGTTTTTTCCATTGGATCCCATTTAAGATATCCTCTATTTTTTTCTTAGCTTGGTTCAGTCCCTTTTGGGTCCCTTTAATATCGATTTTATTATTATTTTTCTTTATTTGGACTTGCTGTTCTTTCAAACTTTCAGAAATCCGTTCAAATTTGCCTCCATGGTGTAGCTCCAAAAATTTAGAAAGACTTGGAGGAATTTCCATTGTATAACTCTTAATAGTATTGTCATGAAGAAAGTCTTCTATCAGTTCTCTTGCACGGCCCACGTATTCATTCATCGATACAATAATAACTTGTCTTTGTTCTGCTATTGTTATAATCTGGAGAAGGCCCTCGAAATCTTGTGTACATTCGATGCTTTTTGTTTGTTTCTCCCATTTATCTGTATTTAAAAGATAGACAGAGTCTGGGTTTACATCGATGGGGGACTCTGCAATGCTTTCCTTTACTGCATGTGCTGCTTCAACAGCTTTATCATCAGAGAAGGCATAACAAATCACCTCCTCTCTCTGTAAAACAAAACAGCTCATATTTCCCTTTTCTTTCAGTTCCTTTGAAATTCTGGCACTGACTTCCTCTCTGCTTAAAAAAACTTGTCTGTTTTTTGAAAACTTTCCCGCAGAAGCCTGACATATTTGTTGGCATTTTTCAAAGACTAATAATTTTGCGTGATTGACATCTGAACATTGTCCTTCAAATGTGATAGTTTTTTCCGGGATATCGAAAGTAACTTCTACATTTGGGAATTTTCTTTCTGTTGCTTCTTTGAAATTATCATCACGAAGTAACAGAAGCTGATAGTGCTTCAATTGCACCCTCTCCTTTACTTGTTGTTTCCTTCTCTCTAACTCACCTACTACTTTAGATATGATTAGCGTAACATTTTCTCTTAATTCAGCAACCTGATTTTCATAGCCCACGATAACAATAGTGTTATTGTTCTTTTCTATAACAATTCCTACTTTCTTGGGATCAGGAACATTCAATTTTTGAATTTCTTCTAAGGTTGTCTGCCACGCTTCCTGCAAGACATTCATGACCTCTACATGTAGATTTTCCAGCAATTTTTTAATGACATCAATCATGTGCTCCTTCCATGTTTTAGCCAATTTTCGACAATCTTTTGTATCTTTCCTTAAAGTACATTCTACTGTTAATTCTGTGGCTGCTTTGTTTGACCACTTTATTTTACCATATGCCAATTCTGCTTGCTCATTAAAAACCTCTTTATTTTCCTCAGAACTGTGCACAAATTTCATCTTTCTTAATTCAAGGTTTCTCACTACCACTGGATCAACCGGCTTGAACTTTGGTCCCTCTTCAGGATTAAATGATTGTCCCAAGCATTCATGATATGTATGTACAGTCAATTCATTCTTATCAAGTTTATGACTTCTCTGGCAAACTCTGTCGCACACTAGGAATGAAAAGAATGGATAATCAATTCTTCATTTTTACAATGCAAGTGAACTCTTAAAACTAATATTTGAATTTTCTTCCTGTCGATTTGTTTTGGACCCTTGACACTTCCAAAATACAAATTATATATTTTTTTTCAGCAAATATGTGCAAAATTGGCAAAAATATAATCACCAAAATCAACCCGACACAAGATAATTTTATTTTCTCTGTACATTAATTGCCCGAAATCATTCTTAGTTTTCAAAAACGAATATTTTTACTCAGCATTAACAAACCATCCTGCTGTATATACGAGTGGTTATCAAAAAGTTCGTGGGCTGAGGCTATAAAATTAGTACTTTGTAGTCTGTGCTTTCAAAATTTATATGGAAGATAAAACAACAGAAAATTAAGGAATGTTGAAAATTTTAGCCTGATACGTTCATTATTTGCCAAATTATTCTAAATTGAAAACAACATTATATGATCACCCGGCGCTGTCGTCGTTTATTTTCATGACGTCCGATAACGTCATTGTTTTTTCATTGTCCGCTTCTTCTACCTCATACACTTTTTTAATGAGATTCCCTGAATAAAGACTTAAACCCGGATTGTTTATATGCTTTACAAAGTCATGAACAGTACCTTAAGTGGCCTTAAATGAATATAATATTCCAAATAAATTAATACATTGGTAGAGATCTGCCGGCATATTTTGCTTTTGGGAGTTCAATATCTACAACACATGATCAACGTCGTTTTTTGACGTGATTGATTTTTCACACCTTGACTGCAAATCGACATTAACTGTGTATCCCTCTTCTCTCTGAATCTATTTTGACATTAAAAGACAAATACTCTGGATGAATATTATTTCTCTGTAGCCAGTTTTAAGATATTTTCGGTCTATACCAGTATTTTCTGTGGCAAAACTTCCTAGAATGTTGGAAACGGAAACCCCTTCCCCCTTTTGACGTCACTTTCAAGGCCTCAATTGTTTGGACATTCCGTGTAAAATCTACGATAAAATTTCGTACAATTTCCAGAATGAAGTGAAAATTTCATATTTTATGGAACAATTCACCCCTACTAATGTGTTCGGAACCTTTTATTTTTCGGTGTTCTGCAAATAATAAGACCCGATGAGTTCAGAGTAGCTCTGGCAGTGGCTCTGGCGAGAGTTATCGAGACTTCAGTGAGATAGGGTAAATTATTCACGGAAATGTGGCCAGGAAGTGACTAGCACGTGGAGACATGGTAAACAGAAAAGTTATGTTGCGTTTCAGTTTTTACCACCCTAGAATCAACTGATAATGTCTGTAGAAATGTACTTCAATCAATCGATCTCTCTTACATTCATTCAAACTTAAATAAGTATTCTCTATAATGCAATTTTCTGCAGTCATGAATTAAAATTTCTTTTTGGGAAAATATTTTTGCATGGGAACTGGGACTATATTTTTCGGCGTCAGATTAGCAAATGAGGCACCAGCATGATTTTAACTGACCAATCAGCTAAATGAGTATTGCATTATGGGTTACTACGAATACTACAGGAAGTTTACGCTTGAAAAAAGGAAAATCTTATTGTAAATAAAAAAGCATTTTTTATGTTCATGCTCATAATGACAAACAATTCATTTGTTCAATACACGGTGGAAGTCTAAGTTTCTGAAAGTCATACTGCAAAAGCGAATTGCGTCTGTATTAATTCCTTTGTTGTACTATCGGTGAATACAATTGCCATGTGAATTCCCTGACCGAACACGTGATCATGAACGAAAACAAAGTTTTGTCCATTTGAATGCATAACAGATGCTGCTCGTTTTCCTTACCCTTGAAGCGCTGGGGCCCGTTTCACTAAAAGGCGTACGCCTGTCTTAACTCTACGACCGGCGTAAGTCCGGACTTACGTCTAACATTTGGACTAAGGTCCGTTTCACTAAAGGGCGTAACTTTGCGCCCGCCTTAAGTTAAGACAAAAATCTACGGCTGGTCTAAGGCAGGCGTAACTATAGACGTAAACATTGGATAATGGCGACTTTCTGGCAGCTTCGCAGAAGAAGAAAGGAAACACCTCGGCGAGAACGCGTTTTTCGGGACCGAACCAACCCTCTCGAGTATCTTGATGATATAGATCTCGTAAGTAGGTATAGGTTCCCGGGAAGAGTCATTCGAAAACTGATAAATGATGTTGACCCTATTGTGAGGCGACCTACATACAAAAGTCATGCCATTCCCACCCACATTCAGGTACATGTATATGTGAATGCTTACTGTAGCATTGTATGCTTCTTAAATATCCACACATAAATAAATACTGACACATGGAATCACATGATATGACAAATATAATGGGTTTTACAATGTACCTATTAATATAAATAAACTACATTTGCATACTTATTTATACATGTATATATAAAGATACACATAAACATCTTACAGGTAATTATCACCTTAAGATATCTGTCAAAGGCAGACTTCTTTTCGGAAGTAGGCGACCTTCATGGCGTTTCCAGATCATCCGTATCCCGAGTAGTACATACAGGTTGTTATACTTCAATATTTTAACTTTAAAATGATGTCAATTCTATTTTTATTAAAAATTATTGCAGGCATGTAGCATCGTTGATGTGGAGATTTGACCCCTTGAATGTTTTAACATTTTGTCCCCTGCATTCACAAATGATAATAAAAGAAAAGTGAGCAAGTTAACACATCCCACACCCCTCCCCTCTTAATATTTGACAATATCATGCAAAATAAATGGCATGTTACACATTAAATACACACAAGTAATTCAAAATGAGGCATAATTCCAAAGTAATCGTTACATGTACTAAAACTCCGTGCAATTATTGAGTGTTTATTTTGTTCAGATAAAATGTACATAATAAAAAGTACCGGAATTCCCAGAAAAAAAGGAAGCGGAATTTCTTTGTAATATGCGCCTACACAATGTGTTCTCAATAACTGCAAAGTTTCACGAAATTAGTTTAAGCAGTTTCAGAAAAGTGACAATTGCAAGTACTATGGGGTATACTGATAATAATAATTATAATAGTAATATGTACATGTTTGCATACACTATCCTTCATGTTTCTACATGCCTGTAATACATTTAATCAGTTGTACATTTCCTTTTCAAATATTCTTTATATATATCATTAAGGATTTTAACGCAGATTCATCATATTGTTATACAGTGTGCAGTGCAATAAATACAACAGTGGACAACATTAAGTTTCCAGTTACTGCCAATGAATTACGCCATGTAAAATCTGAGTTCTATGACATTGCCAAATTTCCAAATTGCGTTGGTGCAGTCGATAGTACTCTATATCTAATACCAATTAAGGGCATGAGTGGTCCACAGGAGCCTGCTTTTGTATGCAGAAAAAACTTTCATGCCCTAAATATTCAGGCCGTAACAGATTCCAATATGAGGTATAAACGGTATTGATTAAAATATAAATACTAGCACATCATTTTTTTTGTAATAGAAATACCCTTGTATACGCCAAAACTTCAACAGGAGAAAATTAAAATATTTAATATAATGTCAAAAGGGTTTTATGAAATAGCAACCTTTGAAAATGTAAATGTTGTGAATTTTAAAATAACTTTATGGCACCAAATATAACCAAACAAATATAACAAATATAAGAATGCTAATTGTTTGCTTACATATGCATAATTAAGGATAAAAAAAAATTATATAAATATAGCCCTTTGATGAGGTCAATCCATAGACATATCGACTTCACAGAAAAGCATATCGACCGAGCACGAAGTGCGAGGTCGATATGCTTTTCTGTGAAGTCGATATATCTATGGATTGACCGAATTAAAGGGCTACATTTGTTATATTATTTTACATAGATTAACAAACAAATTATGAAAATAATTGGAAAAGTTTTCTCCCTTTAACAATTAGAGACTAGAGATCAAAATAAATTACACCGTTTAATGTAAATGCGTTTCCTTTATATTGATGGAGTGATTTAGACGATTTACTTATTCAGAATACTTCATTTATTTGATTAAGTTTTGTATCAATATTTGACACACATATCGAATATGTTTTAATTAATATGAAGTAATCCTAATCCAATGCCTTCTTTTGTCTCATCAAATACAGAACATAGAAAAAAAGTTAGTAAAAGTTGAAATAAATATTTTTTTTTCTAGAAACGTCAAATCATACACTGTATTAGCTTTGATTGAATACAGTACTATTTTGTTTCACGGAAATTATCTCCATTTTAAGAAACCTCAAGTCGATACGCATTTCAGATTCTATAAATAGTAACTCAAGTCTTTATGCTGTTATATACTAAATCATGTGATCAAGTTTGAGCCAATCAGAGAGCCGGGAATAAATGATAAAAATAATATTATTTGATATTATTTCAGATTTCTTCAAATCAATACCTGTTTACCGGGGCAATTCACGACTCTTTCGTTTTGAGCAACTCGGGATTGTCAGATGTTATGGAACATCTCGAAGGGGGTGGGTGGTTACTTGGGGATTCTGGCTACCCTCTCAAGGAATGGCTCTTAACGCCATTCTTATCCCCAGCCAATCAACACGAAGTGAATTACAACGATGCCCATGGAAAGACTCGTGTTGTCATAGAAAAATCGTTTGGGGTTTTGAAATCCACATTTAGGTAATTTAAACGCAATTTTTCGTTAAATATCTTTATATGTCATATTTGCAAGCAAATATTTTATTTCAAACGTTCATTACGATAAACGCGACCTTACATTTTTTTATTTGAGAAAAAAATTATCTATTGCAACCATAAATAAACCTTTTTACAATTTTATTGTGAATTCATTTAAAATTCTGAGGGCCAATTTTCTTAGATTGTGGGTTTTTTGGTTATTTGTGGAGATGTAATTTCGAGTATGGGTTTTCAGATTCAGTAACAAAGATATCTCTTTCTAAATTTCCTATGAAGATGTAAATTCGTGTGGTTTGGGGGGGGGGGGGGGGGGGGCTACCAACGAATATCACGAAAATTGAGCCACCACGAATTCTAATGATTCCACAGTATTTACATTCAAGTAAATCTTTGCAGGTGTTTACATCGAACTGGAGGAGTACTCCCCTTTTCACCAAGTAGATGTTCTCAAATTATTCAATGCTGTATCCGGCTTAATAATTTAGCTGTTTCAGAGAAAGTCCCCTTACTTGAGGGTGGGGTTGTACAGAACATCAATGACAATGCCGTGTTTAACGCAAACGCACCAAGGAGAGCACAGGATGTGCGCATTCAAGTTGCAAATTTATTTTAACAATTCATCTATTCATTAAATCACACACTTACATTGTAATAAAGAACATGACTACTATATCATTTATGTAAACCCACTGACAATAGTTTAACTCTGTTTGATATGAAGAAACAAAATTAAGATTAAGTGAATTGAAAAATGCCATTTATTTACATTATAAATGACTGTATGAAAAAACACAAAATATCATGCATATAAACATATAATGCAGAACCAGAAAAATTGAACAATTGAAAATATAATCAATTTTGTTTCAATAGATATCAAAGGTGGGGTATAAAAATTCGCAAACACCACAATCGTACATATTTTTAGCAAATTAAAACATAAACATAAAAAACTATTCTAAAAGAATATGTATCATACAAAACCAATCAAAGATAACTATGCTGACACGGCAATAATTACAGATGGTGTTGGGGCGGGACGGAGGGCAATTAAAATTACAGCAGAATTTTTGTTTGCGCGTTCACTGACAAGGTTCTGTGAGGGAATGGTGAAAGGCGTGAGAACCCGCGCGCATATCTTAGCATCCGACGGCCGAGAATATAAATCATACCAATTTACAGAAAGATCTTCGAGAATTGCTTTAATCTAACGGATAAGAAATTTTGCGATTAAGAAACTTAATTGCTAGCATGGGTCTGCCGTGTCAGATGTTTTACATAAATTAATTTAAGGATGTAAATTAAATATTTATGTAAACCCACTGACAATAGTTTAACTCTGTTTGATATGAAGAAACAAAATTAAGATTAAGTGAATTGAAAAATGCCATTTATTTACATTATAAATGACTGTATGAAAAAACACAAAATATCATGCATATAAACATATAATGCAGAACCAGAAAAATTGAACAATTGAAAATATAATCAATTTTGTTTCAATAGATATCAAAGGTGGGGTATAAAAATTCGCCACATTATTGTGTTTACATAAACGCAATAAACCCCATCCTTAAACTATTGTCTTCTAATGAAATGTTAATATTAATGCACAAACATAAATACCACACAGTTTCTTCAAAGATGGTCAAGATACTCCTTTATAAGTGATAGAAGGATCTAGTTCAAGCTCCATTAACCAGCAGTGTCCATAATACGTTATAATTAAGTTCACGATCCTCTGTCATATTTCATCAAAGTTTCTAACATCACTATTACAGCCAACCGGAATAAACAAACATATTATACATTATATAAACACAACCAGGCGAATAAGTCAGAGGCCCATGTCCCCGTGACTTAATGTCGAAGAAAAATGAACGCAGTTGTACCTCCATTAGGTTAAGTCAGAGGCCCTTGTCCCCATGACTTACGTGTAAGTTCGAAAAATCAAAACAGTCCATCCTTTATTTGTAAGGTTAAGTCAGAGGCCCCTGTCCCCATGACTCAAGTTTGAAAATCAAAACATTCCATGCTATATTTATAAGGTTAAGTCAGAGGCCCATGTCCCCATGACCTAGGTTTAAAATTCAAAACAGTCCATGCTATAAAGGGAAATTAAATATAAATCTGGAAACTTATATTCGCTATGTCCAAAAACCAGCTGATCGTAGTATGTGTTGATATTTAGTGCATAATCAGAGGCCCCTGTCCCCATGATTATACTTACTGCAGAAAATATTTAGATTTTCAAAACAGGTATGCGTATGTATTTCTTGTATGCGTCGGAATGCCATCGTCCCATCTGTTTAATCTTTTCATCTGAAATACCCATTTCGGCCGCTGACGTTGCCGCACCAATTCGAAAACTATGAGTTTTATAGAGTTTAGAATCGAGACCCGACCACTTTAAAGACATTTGTAGAAAGTTTGTAAATTGTTGCCTTTGGATTCCATGACCATCAGGGTAAGAAAAAGGGGACCCATGACTTGACCCCTTAGTGTAATAAATGACAATAGTGCTTGCACTGGACAGAGCCCTTCATCGGAATTACTAGCCTGTAGAAACAAGGTGGGAATATGTCGGCCAGAACTGTGCTTGAAAGAATCAGGTCTTATTTCTAGGCCTTCTAGTGTGTTTGATTCGTCTCGAACAAGCTTAACATTTTCCAGTAGCAAAACATTACCTCTGTGATGTCGAGATGTGATAGTTATTTCCCCCACTCTTAAGAAGGCATGGAAGGCCAACAAATACATTGATTTTAGCATGCTGCGCTGGTAAAATGAGATACTTAAATGATCAATCGAGTCAACTAAATTTCTTAGAATAGACGGTGTTATAGGCAGCCTCGTATTCCCGGTACCTGGTTTTAACTTTTCATACCCTTGTAGCATTTTGCGAATTACAAAAAGCTGTGTTACGTCTTGATAGCCCTTTAATTTAAATATATATCCTAGAGCTGATAGATAACTTTTCAAGGTCGACGTCGCCATGTTGGATTGAAAACAAAAGGCTACAAAAAGTGCGACATGTTGAGATGATGGTGGTAAGATGGGGACGTTTGGATATTGGTTGAACATGAAGGACTTATAACATGTAAAAGCTCTATCGTATGATGACCTAGAAGCTTTAGAAAGTGAACTCTGCAAAATGAAGTCTGCTAGGTTCTTTAAAGGTTGAGCATTGTTGGAGATATTGGTGTCGGCATTGGATTCATAGATGGGAACCCCTCCTTGAATTCTTGTACCTGTAAGCGAGAAAGTTTATCTGCAGCAACGTTAAGTACACCAGGGACATGACTTGCCTTAAATAAAATGTTAAACTGCATTGTCTTGACGACAAAACGCCGCATTAATTTCATAATAGTTGGATCAGTAGAAGTTTGTTTGTTAATAATGTACACTACAGCTATGTTATCAGAATAAAAATTAACACAGGAATTTTGCAGGACGGGGCCCCACAAATCTAAGGCCAGTACAATAGGAAAAAGTTCCCTGACTGTAATGTGTAGCTGGCGCCACTTTTCAGGCCATTTCCCACAAAACCAGTTCGTTTGAGAAGTACCCCCAAAACCAAGGTCACTTGCATCTGTATAGAGGGATAATATTCCAGAAGTAATCCATTTATCTTCTAAAATTAAGGATCTGCCATTAAAATGGTTAATGAAAATTGACCAGGCCTCAAGGTCAGCCCTAGCTTCCTTATTCAAGTACTTCTTAAAGTGCGGTAATCTTAAACCTTTGGTGAGATCTATCAGTCGTCTGAGAAATGTGCGGCCAGGTAATACAACAGAACATGCAAAGTTTAACAAGCCAATAAGAGACTGTAAGTCGCGTAGTGAAGCTTTTTTCTTCCTTTTGAAACTATTTAGTGTTTCTTGCAATTTGAGAAGCTTGTCATCTGGCAATCTTAATTCCATTTTTTCTGAATCAAATTCTAAACCTAAAAATGTAATTGTTGTTGTGGGATATACTGTTTTCTCAGATTTAATGGGAACTCCTATATCTTTGCACAGGTTCAAAAAGTTTTCCAGCGAATTTAAACACTGATTTGTGTTGGCTGGACCAATGAAAAGAAAATCATCTAAAACATGTACACAGGAAGCATTGTAATGATAGTCCATAACCCAGTGAAGTGATGAGCTAAATTTCTCAAAGAGATTACAGGAATAACTAAGACCCATGGGTAAAGTTTTATCAAAAAAATAATAACTTCCTATCGTGAAGCCTAGTAATTCGTGATCTGAAGGATGAACAGGAATGATTTTAAATGCATTCTCAATATCAGTCTTCGAAAATAAAGCCCCCTTGCCATACTTTTTAAGAATTTTAACCGCGTCGTCAATTGTCTGATACTTGATGGAACAGAATTCTTGAGATATTCCGTCATTAATTGACTGACCTTCTGGGTATGACAAATGATGGATAACCCGGAATTCGCCAGGTTGCTTTTTGGGCACTAAGCCTAAGGGCGAACTTTGAAAGTTAGTAAATGGTGGTTCTTGAAACGGACCAGCAGCTCGACCAGAGGCTAATTCTTTGTTTATTTTTTTCTTGAAGAATGTCTAAATGTTGCTTAGCGGATTTTAAATTGTCGCTAAGTCTGCGATGTCTTTTACCCTGAAAAGGTATTTTAAATCCTTCTCTAAAACCTAAGACCAGAAACTCCCTATCAGGTATATCGTAATTTAATAGCCATACATGTAACCTATCAGGGTTAACTGGGGTAACAATTTCAAAATTTTTATTTTGTTGATTTGGATGTGGACTTTGTAAATTCTGTCGGACCATGATTACTGCTAACTCTTTGTCTTCCTTTAGCATTTGCGCTTGATTTGAGGGACGTGGGACAGACCTTTCTACTGTGCTCTCCCTCGCAGAGCTGACAAGAATGGGAAAATTTACATTCCTTTCTGTTGCAAATTCCCTGCTCGGAGTTGTTAAAGTTGAAACAGAATGACTTTGTGTAACCCCCTTTTCCCTTGATATTTGTGAAGGGACGAAAAGTAGTTTTCTGATATGTTGATTTAAACTTTGCTTGTAAACCGGCAGCTAAGGCCTCCTGATACAATTCAAAGTTAACGCGATCCCATTGAAGCTCCCCAGGAGAAATTTCTCTCCATTGTCTAAAAGTTTTATCGTAATTGCAGTTGACTGATCAGCCAGCTTTTGGACAATATTGGCATATTTCATTAATTTTGATACCTCGTTTACATGTTTTTCACAAAAAATGCTGACGAAAATATGAAAGGCTCCCAACCACTGTTGGACGGATTCAATTTTGCATGGATTGTTTTCCTTAACAAAAGTCAAACCTTCATTTTTTTCTACAGAGAATTTTACGTTTTTTTTACTTGGCTTGAGTAATGACCCAAACTCTACAAATTCATTTGCCCAAATTTTTGCTTTTGTTTTTGCGTCAATCCCGAGTGATAAGGGTTTAGAAATACTGTCTGATGTATGTATTAGCGAAAAACTGTTACCATCGCTAGCCTGGGAAAGCGGCTCCGTGGACGTGCTTGGTAATTCCTGAGGCACCTCTGGAGCTTTATCTGTGTGCTCCTCGCTCTTATCATTCATTGCCGAAAGGACCGCTTGAGTGATTTTTGGCAGGGCTAATTGTATAGCGTTGTTCACCTGCTCGGCAATGTCAACAGAGGCTGATGTTGTCTGCTTTCGACGTTTTGCCGGGCCTGAAGTCTCAGAGGATGGTGTGTTCTCGGTTGTAGTGCTCTTTGGTCTTTTCTTTTTGGCTGGCATATTTTGGCCTACAAAACGAGACACCTGTCTTAAAGGCCGGGGCCCGGATATAAAAGGCAGCCAATCGAAAAATGTTGGGGAAATTCAACTTTCTATGCAGCTTTCAGATTTGAGAAGCATTTTTGAGAAAATATGCTTTTTTTGATCATATTAAATTCTAATTTTTGGCATGGAAGCAGCCACCTTAATTGTGAATAAAGTGTCCATCTTTCATAGTTGAAAAAAAATTATATCTTGAGTAATTTAGGAATAAAGTTCTGAAGCTGCACTGAATTTTGAATTTCTTCTCAGTGATTGACAAAGTAGGCGGAGATAACCAGTGTTTTGTTTACACAGGAAGTGGCTGTAGCCATGTGCTGCAGCACATGCTCTGCGTGGTATTACTATACTATAAATAGTTTTCACTAGTGATTTTTATAATTTATAGAGAAAAAATGACTGAAAAACATTTTATTTTGTCAATGAATAGTAAATACACAGGTTTTGAAAAATAAACACACATGTACAGTTACTGTATTAATATTTTTTCATACAAACCTTAGGTGAACAAGTGATAAGATAGCTCAACTAATATATTTAAGTATATTCCAGTCACTTAATTATATAAAAATAAAATATTCACAAGTCAAAAGAAATATTTTAACACAGGTTTGAGTTCCTAATCACTCCCACATATGTCCCATGTATGGCTGATCATTGGGATTAGGTAGCCAATGTCTCACAACGGTCACAACACATTTTGGCATAAGGTCCCTCCTGTGATAAATGTAATTTTTTCTCCGCGGATCCTGTCGTAGGGCATTTCTTTTCCTCTGAATATATCTCGGATCCTTCCATACATTTCTATGGAACAACATAGTCCAGAATCTTTTGTATTTGTCCTTTCTCCTCTGAGAATTACTTCTGTTTGGTGCCTCCGGATCCTCTAACCACCACATTTGTCGGTTGTTTTCCGATGTTATGCATGGACGGCAAAGACAGTGGATACATTCATCTTCTTCATCGTTCTGATCTATAACAAAATCAGCAACATCATCATTGTTCTGCTCCTCCTGGACCTGGTTTCCATTGTCTTCAATTGGAACCTCATTGAATTGCCACTCATGGTGTGCAAATAGATGGCGTATTGTTTCTCTCTGAGTTTCTGTGACTTCAATGGCTAAAATAGATTTCTCTTCTGTTTCCTCCATGTTGTACTCAGCAAATTCCAAGATGGCTACACATTTACACATGTAACACTGGAAAGCCCAACCATTTCAAAAGGACCATACGGGATACATTTAATACTTACATGCAGAAAGAGAAACAAACCACATATGTGTGCATAGAGCTGCACAAATGTATTATAATGTTTAACATACTCTTCATTATCATTATTTTTTAATTAAAATGTTTTAAGATAGATAAATTTTAAAAAGAACTTTATTAGGAAACCCTAATGTGCCTCTGCATCTCTGCAGTGAAAGGTCAGATTATGTCATTGTCAGATGCTAGATCAGGATTTTGGCGGGGAAGTGCTAACTACAGATAGGATTAGGTGTCAAGTCTGACCATTTTTATGTGAGGGGTGTCAAGATTGCATATACATAGCTTCTTGGATGTAGATATCTAAAAATTAAGTTGTTTTTTTTTTTAAAAAGTTAAAAAAAAAATACAGGCTTTTTATAAAGTGTTCATATATGCAATTCAGCATCATTTGTTGAGTTAAAGAAAAAAATTATGCATGTTTGTAAACCAACGCCCCTTTATAAAGAATAATAGTATATTCCAAGAATTAGTATCTTGTACATTTATTGGTAAAAACCAAAAACCTCAAAACAAAGATAGCGAATGAAAGTGAATATGTCTAGTCCACCGAAAAAACGAAAGAGAACACCAAGTTTCAGAATTGAATTATCGGGAGATGAAAGTAAGAAAACCAGTGTTTTGGAAAATTTGCAAAAACTAAGGAGTGAATTAGAGGGCAAACTGAACAAACATGTTGGAAATCTACAAGTCATTGAATATCTCTTTTCTCTTTGGAGTGAGAAAAGAAATGAGGAACACGACATCCAAGGTGATGTTGCACAGTCTGCCCAAGAAAAATCTCCAGCTCCTAGTCCTTACATAAAAGTTCAGAAAAAGGATGTAAATCAAAAACTCTTCTTGTGTGCTGAAGAATCTTTGAGGAGATTGGTGGAAATTGCAGAATACCATGGTCAAAATTGTTCAAGGAATTTAAAAATGAAGAAAGTGCAACAAAGAGGACATGTAATGTCAACCAAATTTCAATGCGAGGAAGAGGGGTGTAGGCATACGTTTCTGTGGTCATCATCTCCTTATTTGCCCAATAATGAATATTTGGTAAATAACCGTGTCAACCATTCTTTATTATGCAGCGGGATGCTTCCATCACACTACACTAGATTTGCCGATGGAGCAGGTATTGGAAAAATATCAAAACAGGATAGGCAAAAGTTTTTTAATCAATCTAAAAAACACATTCAAAAGGAGTATGAAGACTCCATCTACACAGCAACTCTGGAGGAAGTGGCATCTTATGAAGATCTCGAAAGTATAAATATAATGACTGATGCACGACATGGCTGGCGCAAAAATGCCAAAGATTCCAGTGTAGTGGCTATTGGGGACAATACGCACAAAGTTTTATCATGTCAACACATAACAAAATCTGATGATCAAGTGTCGCAACGGCATGAAAAACTCGGAACGGAAAGAATATACCAACATTTGAAAGATCAAAATGTAGCTGTAGGAATTCATACTCATGACAGGAATCTGTCGATTAATAAATATATCCGTGAGGAATGTGAGTCTACAAATCAAAATGACACCTGGCATGCAGTCAAATCAGTTAAGTCCTCTTTGAAAAAAGTATCTTCTGGGCCAGCATATCTTGAGGGAAAAACCTGGTCATCTCAACTTGATGACAAAGTGGAGCCAGTGTGCACTCACTTTCACTGGGCCATTAGAAACTGTGATGAAGATACCGCAAAACTTCAAGCACATCTATTGAACATAGTAGAACATTACAAGAACAATCACTCAAATTGTCATTCGTCCTCCAGGTGCAAAATGGATCCTAACTATGAAATATCTCGGAAAGTTATTTCTAACCCGTGTGCCGAGAAGTTGTTGCTAGGAGTCGTAAAAAATTCTATTGTTTATAAGCATCCACAGGATTACATTTTATGTCATGATACATTTTATGTTGAAAGCTTCAACAATGTCATGAATGTATACCAGGACAAAAGAATATCATTTTCTGATGATATGTACAGAGCAAGATCCAATTTGGCCGTATGTCATTGGAATGAAAACGTGGACAGAGATTATACATCTGTTTGGAGACCAAACCACCGAATGCCAAGAAGTGCTAAGGGTAAAAAGAACTACAAAAAATTAACTTTCTCATTTAGGAAAAATATTTGGACACGATATGTGAAGAGTGTCTTCAAAGCTAAAAGAAGAAACTGATGTTATTGATTTTATTTGAAGGAGACATGTGTAAATATCCCAAATTGTAAGAACTTTAAATCAAACTCCATTATTTACATGTAATTAGTTTGAAACTTTTGTCCTGATTTATAATATCTGCAAAATCTTAACTGTTTATACACTGCATTTATGTGTTAATAAGTAAATGTTGTATACTTAATTAAACTTGAATAATTAGAGATTTGCAGTACACGCAGATTTTACTTCTTTATTTATATTTACACACAAAATGAAATGGAATTCCCACTGTTGGTTATTTGTAAACAAAGCTGACTCAGCTCAGTGCAGTTCTTATCAGCAGCACTGACAGTGATGGAGATAAGCACCGCCTATTTTACCAGGTGGCAAAAAATCTAGGTCGCCCCCGGCCTTTAAGAATGAAGACACTCATAGTTCAATACCTTATCTGCCTATATACATGTTGAATTGACTTTGCATATTAACATGAAAAAATTTTAAGTATAAAAATGTCCTTGATCGCCAAATTAAGCTTCTAATGGAAATAATTTTTCCAAGCCTTATGGTGCCATAGACAACCAAGGACACCCAAATACTTAAGAGTGCAAAAGTTTCAATACCAGTCAATTCACTGAGGCCAACCATAAGCTATAATGACAGATCACAAGGAAAATAATCAAGAAATAGCCAAAGCGCCAGATCATTTACACTTGAGCATAATTCTCAGGTGTACCATACATCAGCGTGTAGCGACACTTCACACATATAAGCTGCTAGCCATAACATAAAAGCAACTGCTCAGCTGTACATATTACAGCTCATAGCGACATATCGCAAACATCAAGATGCCATGTGCATCAAAATGAGCAGAAGCCGTTTCTACTGTGACATATCACAGTGCATATGTAGTGACAGATCACTAAAACGATGCCATGTGCATCAAATGACTAGCAGCTATCGTAAAATGCTCTACACTCTATACACCATAATATTTTTTGGTATGACATCGATATTCAAAATTCAAGTACATGTATCTTGAATGCATAATTACTACAAAAATTAAAATTAAAATAAAACTTATCTCATAACATGAATATGGTGAAGGTATGTCATCACTTTTGGATAGCCTTCAAGGAGTGCAATATTGCCCCACGTAGATTCCTATAGTATATCATCATCCCATATTCTTCGTTAAAGTGAACGCCATCACAAAATATCGGAAATTTAGAGTGTTTAATATTTTTAAGCTTCCAATATTGCACACTCGTTTTCTGTACCAGCAGACATTTCAATTCTCTGTTGAATTTGATCACAAGTTCATTATACGATGTTGTGTCTAAAAGTCGAGTCCTAAAACGAGGCATTAGCTGACAAATTTTCACATGTGCAATATTGTAGCGTGATGCGAAAGTTTCTGCGATGCATAAGAGGCGCAGGCTTAATTCCCTCACAAACGATTCATCTGCTGTTCCATTGTCAACATCATTTCCTCCTATATGTAAAATGAGTACACATGGACGTAGATCAGCGATTTTCCTTTCTAACATATTTATATGAGCGGAACATGATAATTTCCCACCACTTAATTGCCGTTGCGGATAAATTGAAGTTAGCATATTCACAATGTTCTCGGATATACGATTGTAATCTATTTACATGAGAAGATCCCGCAATCAGAATAGATACCATTGTTTTGAAATATATGCTTTCACCAAAAAAGCTAAAATTACAGCAGAATTTTTGTTTGCGCGTTCACTGACAAGGTTCTGTGAGGGAATGGTGAAAGGCGTGAGAACCCGCGCGCATATCTTAGCATCCGACGGCCGAGAATATAAATCATACCAATTTACAGAAAGATCTTCGAGAATTGCTTTAATCTAACGGATAAGAAATTTTGCGATTAAGAAACTTAATTGCTAGCATGGGTCTGCCGTGTCAGATGTTTTACATAAATTAATTTAAGGATGTAAATTAAATATTTTGTGTTCAAATTTATTAAATGCCAAATTTGTTTTCAAATGCCGCCGCTATTCTCTCTAGGGCATCTGCTTTTCTCTCCTCTGCGATGGCTCTTCTCTCCTCTTCTATCAAATTCAGCATAAACTCAGCGTCGGGGTCGCTGGCCGTGTCTTTATTTTTAATGAAAAGTTTTATAATCAGAACAATGTCAATTGAAACAGAAGAAAATCAAATAAAATCATATGTGTAAAATGAATAGTTAAAAGTGCATGAATGAAGTTGAAACAGTTCACTAGGGTTTTTTTTCTTAACAAACGTAAAATTACGCGAAAATTAAAACTGAAGGAATGTTTAATACATTTTTAATTAATTTTCATAGCGTTGGCATTGTTTCTTTTTTACCTTTACGTTTAGATCCATACAGAGTTGAAGCAAAGAATGTGTCGGTGGAAGGCCTGGACACATGTACACTTGGAGCTTCTTCCGGAACGTCAACTTCTTCTACTATATACATGTACAAACATACAATTTTTAATTTGAAAAAAGAGCAATATTTCAAATGTACACACTTATGTGTTCCGCGTGTGAAGAACGTGCATATGAAATTTTTGACAATCTATTATAATAATTTTTATGAATTAAAATTTTATAAGTATATTATATAATATGTATAATTATACAAACCAATCAAGGATGGAATTCCAGCGGAAATTTCCGATGGGACTGCAGTGCATGATGAGGCTGAGTTATCTGTTACAAAGAAATACTAGTATTTAGATATCATATATTTCTATTTTTTATACTATAACTATACACTGTATACTACAATAACACTAAATATACAAAGCATGGAAAATCAAATAGTATATGAAGCAAAAGTCGGGAAGGCAACATTATGAGGTTATAAAAATATATGTAGTGAACGTATGTTTACAATGTACTTGCATGTACCATGTATTTATACATACTTGTTTCAGAATTACTGGCAAAGGCAGTATCAACCCCTCCGTCAATCCCAGAGATAAGTTCATCCGGTATAATTGACAAAATCTAGCAATAGAAACAAAAAAAAATAGTTGTTGCCTAATTTTCAAATTTTTTTTAAATAATAAACGGTGCGAAACATTAACTGATGAAAAAATAATTATGTCAGTATCGGAAACTCATCTTAGCAACGATCGAAAGGTTGTTTTTTTTTTAATACATAGTACATATAATTATATCAATTTTAGGTTAATATTAGAAAACACATACGTCAAGTTCCCATGCCTTGAATACAGATTCCGGGGGAGGCCCTCCGCCCGTTCTCTTCGTCTGGTATTTTCTACTGGCTTCTTTCTTCTTCACAATGGATCTTGCATCTTTCCATTTCTTTTTTATTTCTTCTGTTTCCCTCTTGCACAAGGCAGAAGAAAAATTTATTCTGCAGTAAAATTTTAACACTAAATATATTTTTGAATCCCCAGTCTACCTTCATTTGTTTATTTTTTGTTAAATTAAAAAAAATATAAAAATACACAAAACCTAAATAACATTCCTATTTTTGCCAATTTAGTTAGGTTTTTGATCATAAATATACATTATATGTAACATGTAGACATGAACATATTGTATGTAATCAAATCGGAGATGTTATTATAGTTTTGTTGATCGTTATTTTAAAAACCTAAATGCTTACTGCTTTGTGATGTCTTCCCATACAGCTTTCTTTTCTCGTTTGTCACTGAAGCCGACAGTTTTGCAAATAATACATCTTTGTTTTCAATTACACAAGATGTTAGAATTTTCATTTCATCATCAGTCCAGTTTGGCTTACGCTTTTTTACTTTCCGAAGACATTTTGATTGTGCAGAGTCAATAGCGAATATTGCAGACGACAATATCGATATTTACATGTTTGTTTGTTACGAAATTCACATTATTTAAGAAAACGCTATGGAAATCAACATGACAGATCAGAGAGAGAGAGAGAGAGAGAGAGGTTTCTTAAATTCTTTATTTCACTACAAAACACAGTTGCGAGTGTATTCCTTTCAACATAATTCAATCTACGATTTATTTTCAATCTAAATATGTTTCAACGCTTTTAAGTTTTTATTATAGACCTCAAAACAAATATTGCAATAAATAATAAAGAAGAATATGCGATCTTTTCCATATATCTTTTCAATGAACAAATTTTTCTCTCTCTCTCTCTCTCTCTCTCTCTCTCTTTATGATATGTATGCGCATGTGCATAAGCTCGTTGTCAAGGACGTAAGTCTGGCCTTAACTTAGTCCGATACTAGTGTTTATGACCAGGCGTACGCCTCTTAGTGAAACGCAACTTACGCCAGACTAAATTTTGGCGTACGCCCCCAGGCCTAACTTAAGTTTGGTCGTATATTACGCCATTTAGTGAAACGGGCTCCTGGTGTTCTGAACTGGACACAAACTACATATTATCAAACATTTTTCCCAGTAAACAATAAATTAAAAACGCCCGTAACATCTTTAATAGTTTCTTATCTTTGTATTTGGTTCTTAAGAACATCTTTTTTTTAATCATTTTGTATTCCGTTGACATGAACATAGTTGACCTGAACCACGTGTTCGAAGTAAAATGTAAACATGTATTTGGCGTAAACGTTGCTATTCATTCCAACGATTGGTCAGTTGCTCGTGGTAAGATCCTCTGTGCGCTTTTATAACAATAGCCATATAAGGCAAACAAAGGTTTGTCAGTGTTAATGATAAAACACATTTTTTACCAGCGAATCGGTCACTAATGAGCTTTTTTTTCGCCGAAAAGTATAAGATATATTGTTATTTTAACACCCCCTCCTTTAGCTACCCCCTTTCTGTTGAAAATCATGAAAGTCTTTCAGAAAGGTTTGGAAACATTTATTACAGGACATGTTTTCAAAAGAAACAGGCTATATCCTGTTTACTGCCAATTTTATATATAGAACCGGTTCTACCCTATAACCTTTGAATAGATCAACCTAAACCACGTGCCTTGAATTTAAATCACAATAACATTAGTAGGGGTGCAATTGTGTCCTGACACATACCTGAATTAACAGAATTTTTGGATGTCAAATGATCAAATCAGAAGAGTTTTTCTCAGCTACACATAGGTCGCAAAAACGTCGTTTTCGAGGTTGTGCCGCCTGGACATACCATTGCTTACAAAAACATTACTTATTTATTGAAAAATAAAATTTAAGATTTATGGTTTTATGATTTAGATAGAAAAGATGGTGCTGACTAGATATTTAAAATTTCATTGATGTGCCTAAAGCTGTTTTAATTTTCTGACGCTAGTCCACGAACTTTTTGATAACCCCTCGTATTTATACCTATCTATGAATATATGTTTTGACTGCTTAATCAAAAGCGTGACATTTCTCGGTTAGACTTCAAGTTTTTATATATCATGTTTAGCTATTTATCACATGTTATCGAATCAAAACACATTTTTACTATTTTTCTTACCTGTGTGATCTTCGAAAAACACCAAACAAGTGTCATCATCTGTGTTTAATTTTACGTCCAACACTCCACCTCCACCACTTCGCCTCTCATTGTCAAAGTAGAGTTCTAGTGTGCTTTCAACTGTGTTCTCAGCGAATCCAGACACAATTATACAGTTTGAAATATGAACTTTTTTTATTGTAAAAAAGTGCTTTTCTAAAGATTTCTTTTGACATACCTCCTCAAGTTTGGTAAAATCTGTTTTAAAAAGAGAAAGACATATTTTTGTAACTTAATATCACCCTTTTATCAAAATTATCTGCAAATTCTAGATGATGCAATGAAATATTTTTACTAGTAGACATAATAAAACTATAAATGCTTAACAATTAATAAAGGTTAATAAAAAAAAATATACGTAAATTTCGTAAGAATTCTGTCCACACAAATATTTTATCTTTATTTTTACAATGCAAGATAGAATACAAATATTTCTCAGAATTTGAATGCCTTTGCCTTAATATATTATCAAATGATGTCTTTCTATGTAAACCCATTTGACAATACTTTAGTAACAAACTGTTGGAGATTAAAAAAAAGAGTAAAACCTATTAATTCCTTAAAAATAACCATTGCCATTTCCTGATCTTGATTAAAAACGACGCTTTCGACATCTTTTCCAGTTTTGGCCTCAAAGAAATTCGTTAGTAAATCCTCCGATGTCCCTTCTTTAAAGCCTGAGACAAGTACCCTGTCTGGATATACAGGTATCGGCTTGGGGGGTTGGTATAGTTTGACTTCTAAGATAGCTCCATCAATTTTATGTTCGCGATTCAGAATTTGTTCAATATCTTAAATAGAATAAATTACTCGTTAAAAGATTACGATCTCATTGAAGAAGCCAGTATTTGATTTAAGCCATTCAACTTTTAAGACCAAATATTAACTTACTGCTCTCGTTTTCGAAAGTGACATACAGGACTCCGTCTTCCACTTCACCTTTGACCTCTACAACATCTCCACCTCCTGACTTCTTCTTGTTGTCGAAGTATAGTTCTATGTTATCTTTAGATGTTGTTTCCTTCATACCTCTTACTTCAATTGTACACAATGGGCCAAGAGTATCATCGTCTGCCTCTTTTTCTACTTTCATGCCATCTAAACGTACTTCTTCCACAAAGATTTGTTTTTTATTGAACAAAATTGGAACCCTTTCCAGGACACTTGGAACAACTTAAATAAAAAGAAAAGAATTCAAATACGTTTTAAAAATCTATATTAGATCATTTGCCTATTATTGTTATTTCATACCATCAGCATCTTCGAACCAGATAATAGCACTGTTCGTGTCTTCATCGTACTTCACTTTATCCACTTCACCACCACCACTCTTTTTACGGCTCTCAAAGAAAAGTGTCAATTCTTCTTCTGAAGTCCCTGAGGGTAGTTTTGTTACTTTAATTGCTCCTCTCTGATCCTGTTCAACTTCTGAAGTGCTTCCTTCGTCTTTGAGGAAAGGATGATATTCTTCTACTTCTATTCTTTGCTTGTTTATCATTAACGGTGTGCAAGCATGCTTTTCTAGTACGCTTGATGCAACTGAAACACAGTTAAATTTAATTCATTGTTAATTTGTCCTTATTTAAACGCACTATTCTTTTTTTTTTAAAGAGCTCACAATGCACAAATCTTTGCAAAATATTTTCTAAGGTTATTACATAGGACCCATGTACGGACGAAAAAGTAAAATAAACTCGACCAAGATTACCTTTAGCATCTTCAAACCAAATAATAGCAGTATTAGCCGACTCATCAAAATCCACTTTGTCCACATCTCCACCTCCACTCTTTTTGTTATTTTCAAAGAAAAGAGAAATTTGTTCCTCTAAAATTCCTATTGGAAGCTTTGTTACTTTAATTTTTCTTTTCTGATCCAGACTCTCTAAATTTTTTTTATTTGGAGGACGATATTTCTCTATTCCCACTTTTTGCTTGTTGATCGTCAATGGTGATGTCTCGTGCTTCTTTAAAACATTGGCTACAACTGATATTTAAGTAAATGAACATTTTGAAGTAAAGCTGCCTGGTTCCTTGTTTCGGAAACATAATGCTATTTTCTAATGCTATAATCAATGTAAGTATAGCCAAACAACAATAAGTTATTTTACATACCTTTTTCCTGTTAGAAAGTCTTAAAACTTCGAGACTAAGAAGACAATAAAATGAAACTGAAACTTACTAACCTTCAGCCTCTTTAAACCAAACAACAGCACTGTTGGAAGCCTCATCAACCTCCACTTTTTCCACTTCTCCACCTCCACTCTTCTTATGATTCTCAAAGAACAATTCTATCTGTTCATCATTGGTACCTTGTGGAAGACATGTCACCTTCAATGCTTTAACATGTAGGTTCTCCGAGGCATCATGACTCTGAGCCTCTGTTTTTGGGTTGTAAATCTCTATTTGTATCTGTTGTTTGTTTATGATCAGGGGTGAAGATGTATGTTTTTCAATGACACCTTTGGCACCTGAAAAAAAAATAATGTCAAATTGGACTTTGGATATCAAATGCATATTTAAATCTTTAATGGTGAGGTCTTGTGATTCCTTAAAACATAAGCTACCAATTGATAATTTTAAAGTAAAGGTGCTCAAGTCTTTGTTTTGGTGACAAAATGTTATTTTATAATAAAATAAATGTATATTTAATACACGTAAGCATAGAAAAATATACATACCTTCTCGTTGTTTAAAACAACCTTGAAACTTCAGTCTTTGAGACAAAAACACAATGAAATGAAACTGAAACTTACTAACCTTCAGCCTCTTTAAACCAAACAACAGCACTGTTGGAAGCCTCATCAACCTCCACTTTTTCCACTTCTCCACCTCCACTCTTCTTATGATTCTCAAAGAACAATTCTATCTGTTCATCATTGATACCTTGTGGAAGACATGTCACCTTCAATGCTTTAACATGTAGGTTCTCCGAGGCATCATGACTCTGAGCCTCTGTTTTTAGGTTGTAAATCTCTATTTGTATCTGTTGTTTGTTTATGATCAGGGGTGAAGATGTATGTTTTTCAATGACACCTTTGGCACCTGAAAAAAAATAATAATGTCAAATTGGACTTTGGATATCAAATGCATATTTAAATCTTTAATGGTGAGGTCTTGTGATTCCTTAAAACATAAGCTACCAATTGATAATTTTAAAGTAAAGGTGCTCAAGTCTTTGTTTTGGTGACAAAATGTTATTTTATAATAAAATAAATGTATATTTAATACACGTAAGCATAGAAAAATATACATACCTTCTCGTTGTTTAAAACAACCTTGAAACTTCAGTCTTTGAGACAAAAAACACAATGAAATGAAACTGAAACTTACTAACCTTCAGCCTCTTTAAACCAAACAACAGCACTGTTGGAAGCCTCATCAACCTCCACTTTTTCCACTTCTCCACCTCCACTCTTCTTATGATTCTCAAAGAACAATTCTATCTGTTCATCATTGGTACCTTGTGGAAGACATGTCACCTTCAATGCTGTAACATGTAGGTTCTGAGCTTCTTTTTTTGGGTTGTAAGTCTCTATTTCTATCAGTTGTTTGTTTATGATCAAGGGTGATGATTTATGTTTTTCAAGAACACTTTTGACAACTGAAAAAAAAATTATGTCTAATGTGTAATTTAAAGATCAAATTCACATTTGAACCTTTAAGGAATCTGGATTGAAACAGCATGTATTTTTGAAGATAATTTTGATGGTCATATTACCATTATTATTGTTTTGTCCCCATTTTTGATGGCATCATTGCTTTGTTTTACACATGTAGAAATTTAAATGCGATACCATTTTCTTATTATGCTGAGAATACGGAAGGTGTCCGCAGAAGTTTAAATAAGAAACGCTCCCAATTTAGAGTAAACTACAAATGTGTCCATAGGACATGGATGCCCCGCTGAGGGAACATTAGTAATACAACATGAACATTTGTATTAGTGTATGAAATTTGATCAGAATATCTTGAATAGTAATGCAGTTTCTCGCTGTAATAACGCTAAACATCACCAGAAATACTTTGAACTCATCGAATTTACATGTAACAACACATTAGAAAGGGTTCAACTGTCTTTCCTTTTACTGGTAGGACAGTGCAATATGATATGGCCGCCAAACGTTTAACCATCAATTTTGCAATGCAAAATTACAGAGCCTACCTTCCCATTTTGGAAATAACACAGCTCACCTGAGCTGAAAGCTCAAGTGGGCTTTTCTGATCACCCATTGTCCGTCGTCCTTCAGTCCGTTTGAAAAACTTTTTCACTTTTCAACTTTTTCTCAAGAACCTTTAAGCCATTTTAACCATTTTAAACTTGGTTAAAAGCATTCATGGGTGAAAGGGAGTTTACATTGTTAAAATGGAGGGCCAATCTTTCTTCAAAGAGGAGATAATCAGACAAAAATAGGGCAGGGTCATTAAAAAATTTCATCTCAAGAATCACTTGGTCAGGAAAGCTGAAACGTATATGATAGCATCCTAGGGAAATGTAAATTTCAAATTCAAGTTCAAAGCATGACCGCTGGCAGTAGGGCAGGGCCACAACAGGAAATCCAAGTTTTACATTGTAATATATATATGAAAAATCTTATTTAAAACTTCTTCTCAAGAACCACTGAGAACCACTGGGAAAGCAAAAATTTATGTAGAAACATCCTTGGGTAGTTGATTCAAAATTGTCTAAATCATGACTCATGGGGAACACAGGGCCACAATAAGGAAGCCATGTTTTTCATTGAGATGTATAGGGTATTTTTAAATAAAGAACTTTCTTCTCAAGAACCACACTAGACCCAGAAAGCTAGAAGCATTATGAGATAGTCTAGATTTAAAATTTCTTAATCATGCCCCCGTGGGTAGGGCGAGGCCACAAAAGGGAAACCAAGTTTTAAAATGAAATATTTGATGATTAAAAAAATATCTTCTCAAGAACCACTGGGCCTGAAAAACCGAAACTAATGTGGAAGCATTCTTGGTCAGTGTAGATTCAAAATTCAAAAAATCATGATCGCAGGGAAATAACGATGGACCACAGCAGGTTTTACAAGGGTGGTGAAGAACAGCATGGCAGCAATCTACTAAGGTCAGCGTTGTGACTTCATTACTTTTTCTTCATACTTTTAAAATATAAGAACTGTAAACGTTTTTTATGTAATAAGGTAATAAATAAATTTAAATAGCTTGATTTGTTTTAAATATTAACTTTTTGATAATCATTTCTTATCTGATAATATCTTTTGATTTTCGGTTTTCTTAAAGTCAAAAATCTCAGTCGTACTTTTGTTGGAATAGTTGGAGATGGAAGAATATTGAACCAATCTTTTAATGGGAGAGGACTATCTAAGTTTTTGAAACTTGTGTCATCTTGACATGTTGTCGATAAAATTTGTTTAAAACATTAAAACAAACTTTAAATTCTTGACTAAACATTCGTCAACTCTCTGACATTTGCTGAGGAACATAATAAAATACATAATTAAATCTGTAAAACCAGAGGGTGCGTCTATTTTAATATTTTGAAAATAAGATTTTTCGATTTATTTATATGTAAATTCTTAATCGTCCATTGCGACCCCACCCTAATCCCTGGGGGTAATGATTTGTACAAACTTGAATTTACACCACCTCTTTCATCCACATCAGTTTCATCTTTTTTGACCCAGTGATTCTTGAGAAAATTTTTCTTCCAATGTAAAATTTTGATCGGCCAAAGTGGTCCAACTCTCGCCCTGGGGGTCATGTCTTAAACAAACTTGAATTTACACCTCCTGAGGATTATTTTGATTTAAAATAATATCCAGAATTTATTAGGTTAAGTCAAGGAATTCAATTTGTAAATTTAAGCAATAGGATTACCATTAGAATCCTCAAATGTGACAATGGCTGTTTTATTTTCTTCAGTGAGTTTAACTTTAGAAATTGCTCCACCGCCACTTCTTTTTACGTTTTCAAAAAAATCTGAAATGAACTCTTCGGTTATTTTTTCTGGTAGGCAGGTTACTTTTATACTGTCAGCGTCATCAAAAGTCTGCTTTTCACTGGGACTCTTCTGGGAAAAGTCTGAATCTGAAGTGATAAAATAAACGATATTACTAATATAAATTAGGCTGTATACTGAACATTCATTTAAGTGTCAAATTTCAATTGTAACAAGCTTATTCAGAATGAATAGTTCCCACATAAAGAAAAAGGAACCCACTTGTGCTGAAGGGGTCTTTATTGTGTAATCTAACCCTCATAATAAGGGCAATCTAAAGGGATGAACGAAGCTGATACTTTAAGATCTTAGGATGGGACCAATAGGAGTCATTGTAAAAGCTTCATTGCAAAAGCTCATGAGCTTCTTTGATATCGCCAGACAAAGAAAGGTTTAAAAACAGACAGATAAAAATAGTGCAGAAAGGTCGATTTATATATATATTATATATATATATATATATATATATATATATATATATATATATATATATATATATATATATATATATATATATTATTATTATTATTATTATTATTATTAAAGATATATATATATATATATATATATATATATATATATATATATATATATATATATATATATATATATATATATATATATATATATATATATTATTATTATTATTATTATTATTAAAGATCCAAACTAACCAATCAAAAGCAGGTTCAACATTTTTACTATTTGTTTTACTATCAAGAAATCGTTAAACATATTAATAACAAATGGGTCATTTGCTAAAATGATAATGCAAAAAAAGAGTTTTATGTATTAAAACGAAATAAAAATAAAAATTTGGATTACATTTTGAAAAATACATATATAGTCTTATATTTTTCTTTCTCATTAAACAAAATAGTAAATACGTAGATATGGAATATTACATGGTCTTATCGTTGACTTGCGGAACAAGTAGGTCGACTATTTTTTTTTATCAGATCATTGCTTAGGTAGTTCTAATATTGTATTTGTTTATAATTATATATGAAATGTTCTGATTCGTCTCTACACTGCACAGTTATTCAAGGGCATATATTTCATTCCATTTATAAAGGGTACATTTGTGCAGTGATAGTTGACTGTTGAATCGAACTGTAGCGTTATAAGGTTTCACGAGTAAATTTTAGTCTTCGGCCTGGTATGATATGGTCAGAAACTAAAATATAAAACCACAACGCTATAGTTCTGCATCTTATTTGGACTCATCTACTCTATTTGATATAAGATAAAATAAATGAAAATAAAAATTAAAAAAATCTATTTTAGTTCATATTGACAATTTGTATTGTATATACGTGTATGATTTTTAATTAATTCAAGAAATCAAAGCCTTAGATGAAGATAAGTAATTAAATACTTATTTTTTTATATCTTTCCTCTATCAGGAAAACGAACGCGATTTTTGTTTATCAATACTACGTCGTCTTTCAAGTTTTACAAAGTAAGATTTTCAGTGTGTTTGGAAAAATGGGCAGGTGGGGTGGGTAAGGAGTGGGGTTATTGTTAATTTTTAGACACTTGACACTTATTTATAACTTTATTTATATGTCCTCAACCCCATAAACAAAGTAGACAATACAAAAGTATATATACACCTGATATATGTATTCTATATAATAATTAAGAAGCCATATTATAAATTGAAGTATATCTTACAATATGCAATTAATTCTCTGTAACTATTTCATGGACAGAAAAATATTACTACTAACTGTGGCGATATAACCCCATCTTTTGCGTTTCAACGCAATGATTATAGCAATTAAACACAATCTTTTGCGAATTACACGCGATAATTATTGCGTTTAAACGCAGTTTATATTATTTCTTTCCCTGAACTGGGCTCAAAGGTATTCCGTTTTATGTAAGTTTTATTTGATAAATTAAATTCAGAATTTCATTGTGAAAACTGCCATAATTACGTAGTAATATTTTTATGTCCATGAAATAGTTACATGGAATTGTGCTGTCATTTTCGGTAACGTAGTGGACGAGGTGTCATTCAAACAATCAATAATGCTTTAATTTTTTTTTCAAATTAGGTAAGGGTCAAGGGAGTAGGAAACATAGCATGTTCGAAACATTTTCTCATGAGTTTTGCATATGTCAAGTATGAAACTCTTTTTCGAATTTTCAATAAAAAGTTATGAAAAACAATTCTCTAAAAAGAAGGTTAAACTTGAAGGCCAAAGTCCGTTGGGGAATTTCAAATGGTGTTATCGTAGGTAATAAACATA